ACGGTGCGGACACAACAGACTGCCTGCGAAACCTTTGAGGTAGAACAACCCGCCACCGCCACAGATTATGGCGCCGCTCAGACGGACAGGTGGGTAGAAAACAAAACGTTGGTCATAAAGATCTAACTGTACCTAAATTATATTTGTTTTCGTTACTTCCACTTTAAAATATATTTTAGCATCAAACTACCATATTTGAAATTGTAGGCTTCTCTGTGTAGTTAAATGCAAGTGTTTTTGCAATGCAGTTCAAATGTTTTATTGCTTTTCCTACAAAAACACAAAAAAAATGCGATAATTATTTTGCAATAAAAAATATAAGTTCTTTAAGTTAATTTACAAAATAATTTAAGTACAGTATGAGTACAGTATCAGACAGGTGATTAACTAACCAAAAATGCATACAATAATATCTATTTAATTACCGTATCGATATTAGTCATTAAATTTTTCAATTACTGATAATAAGATTTTAAACGTCACTAAGCACGGAACATTAATATATTTTAATAAACTATGTATTGGAGACTCGATTGCCATTTAAGGAAAAAAACTACAATTAAAAAACAAAAATCAACCCCCTTTTCCCTTTTTTTTTCTTCTTTGGCAACCGAGTCTCCAAAATGGTGTTGTCGACTATACTGCCAGTGTCGAGTGATGAAAGCTGGTTAATATAAAATCGGTAGCTTTAGAATAAAATTGACATTCGACAATTTTAAATATGGAAGATTTGTCGATTTGTCCGAAGCGCGAAAGAAAGTCTACGTAATGACGCTTGCTAGCCGAGGGTAAAATCTAGATCATATATGTATATATAACTTCACGCCTGTCTCCCATGGGGGTAGGGAGAGACTATCGAACCCCAATACCTCTTTCGTTATCAGTCTTTTCGTGTATGCTTGTCAGTTAACGGTAGGTACTTTTAATTTGGCCCTTCTTTAGTAATATCGCCAATCTAGTCAGTATAATGTCCGCCTACAGTGCGTTTCACGAAAGAGTTCCCTTGGCCGTAATGTTGGTACTACTGACTGTCAAGTACATCAAACGCTTACGAGTTCTCGAAGTTTTTACTGATTTTAATTGTTTTTACGGTACTAATTATGCCGAAAACCCTTAAAAGTGGTGAAAGAGAGTTGGTGTTAAAAGTTAAAACATTTTGTGAAAGAGAAAAACTTAACAAAGAACCAATAATTCCATTGGAACGTGTGAGACTCCGCGTCGCCGCCATGACAGGTATGTAAAATAGGGTTGCCAGAACTATATGCTCTCTTTTCACCTGATTTCCCATTGTTACCCCGTTGGTATGTCGTGCGTGATAATGTAGGTATAATAATCACATTATTATGATGTGAAAAATAGAGGGTGATTTGTAATTCGACCGTAATCTCGTATGGTGTCATAAAACCGATCAATTCCAAGATTTTTGGAAAGATGGCGAAATGTTTGTTATACTAGGTATCTCATAGCTATGTTCTATAAACTTCTTTCAATAATTCTAATTACATTAAAAAGACCTTTAACTTACTATTATAATAATAATGGTGTTTGTTTCAGGTGTATCTGAAAAAACTGTATCAAAAATTACCAAAGAAGGTGAGGTTGCAGCCAGTACATCAACCAAAATTTCAACTCCAGGAAAGCATCGTCCTAGAGAAAAAAGGGTTAAGTTGGACGATTTTGAACTTTGTGCATTACGTCATAAAATTCATGAATTTTATGTTGTAAGGAAGGAGCTGCCAACTCTTACTAAATTGGTACATGAAATGAAAAATGAAATCGATTTCAAGGGTAGTCGTACCACTCTGTGGAGAACAATGAAGGAGTTAGGTTTCTATTTCAAAAAATGTAGATCTAAAAGGAATATATTAATGGAAAGACACGACATTGTGGCATGGCGTTTTCGATATTTGGACACAATCCGAAGTAACCGCCTAAATGAGCAACGACCAGTCGTATACTTGGATGAAACATATATTCATTCCACATATTGTGCTGGTAAATGTTGGCAAAGTGAATCTGAAGAAGGGGTTTTGTCTTCAGATTCAAAAGGGCCAAGATGGATAATTGTACATGCAGGCGGTAAAATGGGGTTTATACCCAATGCGCAGTTGATTTTTAAATCTCAGACTAAGTCAGGAGATTATCACGATGACATGAATCGAGAAAACTTTATGAAATGGATTCAGGAGAAGCTTTTACCTAATCTGCCTCCTCAATCAATAGTGGTAATGGACAATGCGCCATACCACACAGTAGCGGTGAATAAAGCGCCCACCATGTCAAGTACAAAAGCAGAAATGCAAGAATGGATTACTAACAAAGGCCTTGCATATTTACCGACTATGGTAAAAGGACAATTATTAGAAATTATTAAAGACCATAGAGAACCACCTCTTTACGAAGTAGATTTATTGTTACAAGAACACGGTCATAAAGTTGTAAGGCTCCCTCCGTACCATTGTGACCTGAACCCAATCGAGCTCATTTGGAGTCTTCTGAAAAGGAGAATTGCCGAAAAGAACGTGGGCCAAGAAGCAAAAAATATTGTTAAAATTACAGAAGAGGCATTTTGCAGTATAACGCAAGAAGAGTGGATAAAAGAATGTTGCCACGTGGAAAATATAGAAAACAAGTATTTCAACAATGGAGTTACTGTTGATAATGAAATTGATCGCTTTATAATAGAAGTACGAGATGAAAGCGACACTTCTGATGACAGTGACTCTAGAGATAGTGATACCAGTATTATATCCGGTGTTGGGCCTTTGCACGAGCACAATTATTTCAAAAAATAATATTATTGTTAAATTATTAATACACAATTATTAAGGTTAACTAACAGGAGTTTTATTTGTATAAATATGTTATACACCCCATCTGTAATATCAGGTAATCAATATTAATATAAAGTAATATAAAGGAAATGAAACTAGTTTTTACTCTATTATTACATAAAAATATAATTCCCCGATTATTAGGTAATATAATCATCACTACCTGGCCACACTCAATTTAGCGCTACCAACATGACAGCGAAGGGAATTCTTTGGTGAAACGCACTATACCGCCCACCGACGGCCCCATTCATATCCGCTCTGTAGGTATATTTCTTCCTTTCTTTCTTGCTAAGGAATAAAATACATGTTACGTTATAGTAACATTATTACGGATTTTTTTAATAGGTATAACATAAGATTTAGTAACATTATCTAAAAAAAGCAATTCATCACTGAACTTATCTGCAATCTTAATCTTTGGTGTATCAACACGTGCGTCAGAGCGAGACGGCAACATCAACGTAGCGTTATACGTCACGAGCAAAACAAGGACAGCAACACTATCAAGGTGATACGAAGAGAGTGGTCAAACAAAACGTTGAAACAATTTATTAACCGATTTTAAAAAAAAAGGTGGTATTTTAATTTTATTCTTTGTAAACGTCAGGAAATGATCTCATACTGATCCTTTAATATTCGCATCTGAAATGAAACGAGTTTTTTATTAAGTGAACCTTGATTTAAACTGTCAAACACCAAGCGGTCACCGGTGACCGCGACCCATTGTTCTTTAATTGTGTCTATAAAACCGGTACTCGAAGAGTTAAGTGTCGAGTGACTTTTAAAAACTAGCCTCCATCCAATGGTCAAATTACTTGTAAGTATTGTGTACCTACAGAATATATTAATATTGCCGTAAAAATGACGTATGTTTGTTTGTCTTGGTCAATAAAAAGATTGCGAAAATTAGTTTTCTTTTTTGTAAATTATTCTTACACCATAGTGAAACAATTGAAACAAGTGAATTTATTTCTGCAAATAGGCTACAAGGCAGCACTTTTACACGTCAATTTTATCAAGCGAACGATGAGGTCGACATTTCCTAACTGACTACTCTGAGAAGAAATGCCGAAACAAACTCAGAGGTCCGTCTCTTTTAAAGGCCATAATTAGGTAGAAGACGAGAGGACTGTAAGATATTCTCCCGGACAAACAATCTGTGGATCACTTAAAACAATTATTCCGTGCAGTAATCGAACTTATGATATGTTGCACAGCAGTGGTATAGCCATTGCACTAACCTTGCTGTACGTCTCATTTATTAGTAAACCTTTAAAAATGCATTCTAACTTTAAAATACTTATTCTAACTTAAAAATACCTACTTATTTAAATTTAAAAATACTTATTCTAACTTAAAAAACGGGTCAAGTCCGAGTTGGATTCGCACACAAACGGTTCAGAGACAACAGAAGTTTAAAATAAGAAAAAGTTCATGAAAATTATATATATTGTATATTATACTATCTAGCTACCACGGTTCATAAGTTACCAACCTGGTGGTAGACAGACAAGCAGCGGAGTCTTAGTTTTATTATATAATATTGGCCATTTATTTTTTGAGAGGGTTTTTTTTAAGGGGTGAAAATCATCGAATGACTGCTCCCGCCTGGGTGAGGCGGAAGGGAGTGTCAGACTCTTACTGACTAAAAACCACCCCGTTCCTTCTCCTGCACGTCGAGCCGGAGCCCCGGTTACCCGTTAGGTTCTCCGCGACACCTATACTATCTATAACTACCACGGTTCATAAGTTACCAACCTGATGATAGACAGACAAACAGCGGAGTCTTAGTTTTATTGAATTTTGACCATTTATTTTTTGAGATGGGAAAGCCACTGACTTCTTCCTTTTTACTGACTAGTAGGTACATAGCGCTACGAACTAATTAGCGGTGTTTTGTGTAAGTAGGAACAGGGTGGTTCCTAATCCTGCTTTGAACCGGAGCCCCGGTAACCCGCGAGATCGTACGGTACCAGGGTCACGTTTTTACCCTCATGTACCCTAAAATCGTCATACATAAGTAATCTTGACAAGCTTGTCCCGTAACCGAGCTACAATATCGATCCAACTGTAAACTGAAACAGCTGAAAAAGCAGTCTGAAAACAACTACTCAAGAATTTGGAGAGAAGACTTAGAGAAGACTTTCAGTGTAAAAAATCAAAATGGCCGCGTTAATAGCTCCTACTGATGATATGGAGATGGAGAAGATCGCAGAGGATGAACTGTCCAAGTTGCAGAGACAGGTAACTATATATTACTAGCGACCCGCCCCGGCTTCGCACGGGTGCAATATGTATGTATTATAGGTATAAAACTTCCTTAAGAATCACTCTATCTATTAAAAAACCGCATCAAAATCCGTTGCGTAGTTTTAAAGAACATAGAGATAGACAGACGGCAGATAGCGACTTTGTTTTATACTATGTAGTGATTATGAATATTTTAAATATTAATTAATGGTAGCTATTACCTCACGCGGTTTCACTCGCTCCACGACTTCTGTTGGTTGCGGCGTGATATTCAATGTTTTCCTTTTTCGATAAATGAACTATCTAAGACAAAAATAATTATTCATTTTTTATATCTAGAATCTTGCAGTTGTAGAAAAGCAGCTTTGTAGACTTGTAGATTTGTAGAAATGTAGATTAATAGATAGGTAGAAATGTAGATAAGTCTTGTAGAAATGTAGACTTTTAGACATGTAGAAAAGTAAAAATGGAAAAAAATGGTTGTTACAAACTACTTGCTAAAAATATGATATCATGTTAAACACTTTGTTTTGCATCAGTTCAGGGTGATGGAAATAGACCGGGCTACAGTGCTGAGCAGCGTGCAGCCGACCCTAAGGATGCAGAAGAACATCATCAACACCTTGAATGCTGACCTGGAGAAGATCATGCTGGAACTGAAGGTGCTTGTAGACTTCTAACACATGTTTTCTTTTTTATAGAATAGGAAGACCAACGAATAGATGGATCAGCTGATGGTAAGCAATTGGCACCGCCTATGAAAATCTGCAAAACGAAATATATTACACATCAGTTATCTCTAATCACTTTCTAGGGATTAGTAATCCCTATTTAACCCTAAGGAAGGATAGACATCCCTAGGTTACCTAAGGCTTCATCTAAGATTACAGATACAACTTCACTTACACGGCGAAATAAAATTCAAGCGTTGTTTCTTTGTGTTATCGTTTGAAACGGAGACTAAATAATTTGACATTAATTGGGATGATGACAAGGTATGAAAATTAAAAATCTAATTAATCCGTAAGTTAGGTAATGGAAAAATATTAGATAAGTACATATTTTTAATTTTTTTTCGTATAATAAAATCATACTTAGATAAAACGAATCAAAATTTAGGTGTAGGGGCTAAAACGTCATTTCTACGTATAAAATGTACATAGAAGAGTCATCACACGACATTTCAAATCAATATATCGTCGAAGGTATTCGTTTTTGTAAGAAAATAAAAAATACGTGTCTAATAATTTAAAATAATCTACCAGGCGGACATTAAAAAAAAAATTAGTCATCTACCCTATTCCATAAAAATTTAAGAAGCAGAATTTTCTTCATCATCAACAGCCTATAAATGCCCACTGCTGAGCAAAGCCTCTTCTCACACGGTGAAGGTTAGAGCATTAATCACCACGCTTGCTCAATGCGGGTTGGCGATTTCAAACTTATAATTAGAAATTATAAGTCCAGGTTTCCTCACGATGTTTTTCCTTCACCGTTTGTCAGTGGTGTCTAAATAATCTTAGAAAGTACATATAACTCGGAAAAAGTCACATTGGTACTTGCCGTTGGTAGGTTTCGAACCCGCACCCTCATGCATGAGAAGTGGGCGTCTTAAACCTCCGGGCCACCACGACATTTTCTTATTTGTCTGCAATAGTTACATTGAATGGAATACACAATAAGTTCAATTCCTCATTTCCACAGTTCACCAAAAGCACTTCCAACCTCATGGAAGGTGCAAAAAGCCGGGAGAAGTTGATTGCTCTTCTGAAAGACCACGAAAAATATTCGAGTGAAGTGAAAGACCATCGGGAAACTATCAAAGAACTGAACTTCTTATTGAAACAAGTGCAGAAGGAAATCAAATCACTGAGGTCCAAAGTTATGGGGACAGAAATTGTAAGTATAAACTTCTTATTTATTTGGATGTATGTACCGATCTATTATAGTTCAAACCAAAAGTACCTATTGAATGAACGACTAAAACTCTAGTTCAAAGAAGTATTATCTGTGTATAGACCCTGGATATATTTTACAAAATTTAAAAGTATTTACTCATCATCATCATCAACAGCTTATAAATCCCCACTGCTGAGCAAAGCCTCTTCTCACACGGAGGTTTGCTTATTAATTATTAATTATAAAATTAGAAATTATAAGGCCAGGTTTCCTCACGATGTTTTCCTTCACCGTTTGTCAGTGGTGTCTAGATAATCATAGAAAGTACACATAACTCTGAAAAAGTCACATTGGTACTTGCCGTTGGTAGATTTCAAACCCGCACCCTCATGCATGAGAAGCGGGCGTCTTAAACCTCCGGGCAACCACGACCGTTATTGTAAATATTAAAGTAAATTTACTAACACATATAACCGATTTCTTTAAAAACGTGATGATATCATCATTAATACCTATGTTCTGTTGCACTTTCTATGCCAGGCGTACTCCAACGTCTTGACTGGTCAGACCCTGATCAGTCAGCTCGAGAACCGCCTGGACACCGCTATGAAGAAATTCAATACGGTGAACAGTGAGAACTACTCCATGAGATTGGAAATTGATAGGTTGCTGAGAGATCGGTAAGAAAGAGAAGTAGTTATTCTATATAATAATAACATAACATAAAATCACGCGTTTCATCCCCGAAGGGATAGGCAGAGGTGCACATTTACGACATTTAATGCCACTGTGCAATGTAACACCCACTCTTCACTATTTATGTAATGAATTCTTATGGGGTGAGTCTATTGCCATATACCGGGCACAATTCCAGACCCCGTGCTACTACTGAGAATTTTTAAATAACCTAGTAATAGTTGCCCGACCTGGGAATCGTACCCGAGACCCCTTGCCCGGCAGTAGCACTGGCAAACACTTGGCCAACGAGGTCATTTAATAATTCTTGATAAATGTAGATAATGTAAAATTTTGCGGTCAATTCACTTACGCATTAATCAAACTAAGAATTTGCACTGTAATTTATACTTGTTTGACCCGTAACATTTTCCTTATTTACCTGATGTACCTTATTTTTGTTTGCGTTAAAGAGTTAATAAATAAATACAATTTCATACTCCAATAATCAATTATATAAAATAACTTTTGACTTTGTTTTTAAACTAGAAGTTTAGGAATAAATGCCCAGATTTTGCAATGCAATGGATTAAGTAGTAGTTACAGTAGTGATAGACAAGCTTAAGCAAGCACTTGACTCCAGGCAATTCTTCAACACCCATTGGAAGAATCAGCTTAAGCGTCTAATGGATGGCAAGGCGATGATCATAGAACTATTGGAGCAAGCAATCTCCACGTACGACCAGCGTGAGGAGTGGTGCTCCAAGCTGGATGCCCTCAAGGAGAAGGCGGCTACGGACTATAGGAAACACTGCTTAGTAAGTAACTTTGTTATATATATTTGTTATAGAGACATGGTTCATATTTTTGAGAGACGACCCACAATATAAAAATGGTACCAGATTATGGATAGGACATAGAACAGTACCTACAAATGGAAATATTTTTTTCTATTCTTCTTTTATCATTGAGCTTTTAATGACTATTGTATAATGAGTAATAACAAAAGTTGTTACTAATTATATATTTCTTATTTAAGTATTGCAAATTTGGTAATGTAGACAAATTAGGTAAATTTAATTTAATTGATACAGTGTTCTTAACTCAACGCATGCTGTGATGTCCTTCAATTGTTGTGCATTAGCCGTAAGATGTTAATTCCTAATTTTAAGTTAATGATAAAAATGTAGCAACAACTGAATGTCCAAATAAATAAATAAAATAAATAACCTTTCGACCACCTAACTGCCATAGCTGCCATTGTGATAATCTTGTTTAATGGAAGGAATCGAGGAATAAACACAAGTTTTTCCAGAATAGACCAAACACTGCGCTAGTTATGTTATAAGGCCCAGTGTAATAAGACGCAAAACTAGGCTTAATAACACTACCCTGATCAGGCAATTGAACTCGAAACCTAGGTGTCCTGCCTTGCACACGTTTCCACACGATGAAAAGCAACTAAACCATTACTTAACCCTTTGAGTACCGTCATTATAGACACAATGAAAGAACAATAGATTGTGGTCACCGGTGTCGTCGCAGTGTTTGACAGTTTAATAAGGTTTTTAATAATTTTATAAGGTACTCACACTTTAGTTTACAAGTTCAAAAACTATAATTCTTTTATGAACTAAGTTTAAATAACACTGATTTTAACCACCTCTTTTATTGAAGCCTCTTAAATTAAGAGAAGGTTTTAGTATATTAATTAAGACTCTTAATTAATATACTAAACTTTTCTGAAAACCTAATAAAAATCGATTCAGCCAATCACGAGATAATCGCGCACAAACATGCATACATACAGGTCATACTGAAAATTGTTTTATTTTAGAATTCGTTTAAAATCTAAAATAATGCTAATTCTGTCTAATAGGAAGTTCGTGAACTCCAACGTCAGTTAGACCACAGCATGAAGCTGGAAGAGTTCCTTCGTACAAAGGGCACGGTTCGACTGACGGCTGCTGATGCCAAGGCTGAAGCCAAGAAACTGGAGCAGCAGGAGGAGGAGATGAGGATCTACAATAACTATGTTAATATACTGGATGCTTTGAAGGTATGAGAAACTGCATCAACGCAGACATGTTGACAACTATAGTCAAACGAATGGAGTTACTTGATCGTTCTTCTCCACTCGAATCGACATTTTGGAACAAGCGCCTAGCTTCACTGACGGACAGACTGACAGACTATTATTTATTTCATATTTATTGACGTTTCAAAAGTACCAAAATAGGGTTAAATTGAAATAAATGCTTTTGAGTTTGAGTTTGAGTTTATGTATGACGATTTTAGGGTACGAAAGGGTAAAAACGTGACCCTGGTACCGTATGACCGGGTCACCGTCGCGGGTTACCGGGGCTCCGGTTCAAAGCAGGAGTAGGAACAGGCCACCGTGTTCCTACTAATCCTACTTACTACTACGTAGGTACCTACTTCTTCCTTTTTGGCTGTCAAGAAGTCAGTGCGTTGCCCCTCTCAAAAAATAAATGGCCAAAATATAATAAAACTAAGACTCCGCTGCTTGTCTGTCTACCATCAGATTGGTAACTTATGAACCGTCGTAGTTATAGATAGTATAATATAGGTACATACAATATATATAATTTTCATGAACTTTTTCTAGTTTTGAGTTTTTGAGTTTTTGAGTCAAATGAATATCGGATTTAACTGATACAACAACACGCTCATTATGGTACAATAGTAATTTATATAATAGGGAACGGCCGAGCCTATAGTCATTATACTGAGCACGATTCTAAACACCATACTCTTAATGACATTTTTCTGTACCTAAGCCAAAAAATCCTATCGACCTAGAAACCAAACCTCGAGACCTATTAGACAGCAGTTGCACTTGCGATCCTACCAACGAGACAGCTACGATATAACTGAGGCTACAAGTTTGATTTACGTTTAAAGTATTCGAAACGAGTACGCGTTCGGCAATCTGATTGGTTGGTTCATTTAGCCGGCCAATCACAGCGCCGAATGCGTACTTTAAACGTAAAACAAACTCGTACTCGCCTCTGATAAAATTTATACATTTGAAAAAAAACACTGATAAATATATCTATACAATTCCAGGAGTTCGCTGGTGAGGATGACGTGGACAAACTCATCCAGGAGTTCACACGTCGCGAGGAGGAGAACTACGCTCTGTTCAACTACATCAACGAGGTCTGCACCGAACTGAAGAATCTCAGTGATAACGTCAAAATGTTGAGAGCTAATATTGGTAAAATAAGAAAGATCTTTCCTAAAAAGCTATTTTCCAATAAGAAATTAAAGGAAAAAATATAGTAGGATAGGTATCACCCCTCTCTCTAGGGATGTATCGTAACAGGCGTTGCACCGTGGAGGCTCCGGAGCAGCAGGCTTACTCTTGAATCCAATTCCGATCGATCGACATTGACATTGTGAAATTTCGTACTCTTGAGTTGTAACACTAGCGCCTTTTGTATCCGTATTGCATGGATATTTCATGAACTAAATGGTATTGAGTTTGGCTTTATATTCCGTACTCTGAATGCTATTTTAACAGCTACGATAGGGGTTGTATAGTGCCGGCATTGAATAATTATAGAGATTTTATTTGCATTGACATTGATATTGGTTTCGAGAGTAAGCGACCAGGGTGTTTACTCTTGAAACCAATAAAATCTCAATAATTATCCAATGTTAAAACTATACAAGCCCTATCGTAGCTGTCCAAGTAGCATTTAGAATGCGGATTATGAAGCCAAACTCAATACCATTTAGTATATTCATTGTTCAGTGTTGCAACTCAAGAGTACGAAATTTCACAATATCAATGTCGATCGATCGGAATTGGATTCAAGAGTAAGCCCCCAGGTCTCTTTTAGAGGATCCGGTACCTTCATACAGGTGTTGAGGGTGGCCACCGGGGAGGTTTTAGTGGGGTAAAAATCCCACACTCCCTAGTCTTTTATCCCCAAAAAGCTAGGCGCCTTTTGAAGGCTTCACCCCGCCAAAAAAAAGTTATCCTACTATATTTTTTATCGGAGATAGATATTATGAGATAGGTATCTCGTAACAGAATCATATCTCATAAAGCCGTTGATGTGAACGTAGTGTAGAAATAATATAGCAACTAGAAAGTAGCAGCCCCTATAAATTACTTTACGTTTTTTTTTATGGCATAAGCCGGTAAACGAGCAGACGGGTCACCTGATGGAAAACAATCGGCGTCGCCCATGGACACCTGGAACACCAGAGGCGTTACAAGTGCGTTACCGGCCCTTTGGGGATTAGGAGTTTGAGGATCGTTGGGGATTCAGGGATCGGGGAGATTGGGGAAGGGGAGGGTAATTGGGCTTCCGGTAACCTCACTCACACGACGAAACACAACGCAGCGTTGCTTCACGTCGATTTTCTGTGAGGCCGTGTTATCACTCCGGTCGAGCCGGCCCGAAGCATGGCTTTCCCACACTTAAACGTTTCGGTGTAGGTCCTACTTAAACCATTTTTTCTAAATCTCTTTTTATCCTAACAGAGGAAGAAACGGCCAAGCACCAAGCTAAACTCTTCCAGCAGCAGGACAGCATCGAGTCACTGCGCAGTACTCTGGAAGAGAAGCGACAAGCCACTGCCGACGCGCGCGCCATCTGTGAGAGAAGCTCGCAAGTTCTCACCACTTTGTTGCAGCAAATACATGCGTTGGCGCTGTTAGTATTACAACATCTTACTTTTATATACATACACACGTAACTTCACGCCTGTCTCCCATGGAGGTAGGTAAACTATAGAACACCAATTGCTACGTTTCTTACGACGTACCTCTTTGGCTCTTTCGCTTAATCGACAGTCATCAGTCTTTAACAACTCAAAAGTGGACAGAGACTGGACAACAGCACTAATTGATCTCCAACCCGCCAGCCAAGCGTGGAGATTGCAGCAAAGCCTTCTTATGTAAAAGAAATCCAAAGTCAGACCAAATGTCTGGTGTAGTGATGTAGGATCACTTACAATTACCGTCATACAAGAAATATTAATACTCCCGGAGGGGAAAATAGGTGTCATTTTATGCATCGGACGATACCAACGATACAGAGCAATGCTACCCATATTAAAATTCTCTTATCCTCTCTATCGGAGAAACAAGATTTACATTAGTGCCATCTAGTGAGTGCAACAACGATGAACCAATGATACAGTGCGTCTATAATACAATATTCTTTTTTTTTCAGTTTTATAATTTTAATCAAGCTGTGCTCCGAACAGCGTTACCATAGGTATATAATTAGGTAGGTACTAGGTACTACTGCTGGAAAACAGCACCGTACACTCGAGCCTTGTCGCGGAGAACCTAACGGGTTACCGGGGCTCCGGCTCGAAGTGCAGGAGAAGGAACAGCGTGGTTTTTAGTCAGTAAGAGTCTGACACTCCCTCCCGCCTCACCCAGGCGGGAGCAGTCATTCGATGATTTTCCCCCTGGAAAAAAAAGACTCGAGCCTTCGTGCCTGGGCCACAATATTAAGCTGAACTCTGGCCTTTTCCGCTGCGACGCACCATGGGCTTTTTGTGTGTACTTGTTTTCTTGTTTACGTGTGTGTCGTGGCGTAATAAATATTTTATATTTCTTTCTTTCTTACTAATAGTTCAACAACAGGAAATTCTTTATTGGTCAGACTTAGACTGCACTGTTGGCGCGGTGGCTGGGCAACTGGCTGCTGCGCAACGTGTCGCGGGTTCGCGTCCTGCACGGAACAATTCTTTGTGTGATCCACATATTGTTGTTCCGGGTCTGGGTGTATGTGAACTTGTATGTTTGTAAACGCACAGGAGGATTGTCTCCTGTGTCGTGTCGTCACAAAAAAAGAAAAAAATGCCAAATAGCACCCTGGCGCCATCTAGTACAATAACGGTAGCCCTCAGTTCACTCTGAACACTTATTGCAGGACATCTGAATGCGATTCCCTACCACTTCTGAAGCTGCTGGGCAAAGCGTTTGACATCAACGTGACGAACGCTCGCCTCTACATCAAGAGTTTGGAGAAGAAAGTACTGGAGATCATCGACATCATCAGGATTGATGAGGTGACTTAGAAAGTTAACTTTATTATGTAGTGGATATGGTTGATTTTTGATTGGCTATAGAAAAGAGGGTGTGGTTTTGAATACACCCAGTGAGATTAGTTGAGAGTAATTGCCTATCGACGGTCTGACGTTTGCAACACCTTGATATACATTATGACGTTCATCAGTTACTATTTATCTACTAGAAATTTAAAGTCTAATCACATCTAACTACAAAAAGAGCATTTTTAAATATCAAATAATAAACTGTTAATTCTTTTACAAGGCTAACTATAAGTAGTCTATTTTTACAATGGGGCTCTATTAATTACACTTAAACTTACCTTTTACCTTTTTAGTAGTCAAGTAGACTTACTTCGTTCCTCTTTACCAGTTGATCCAGCGTCAGACGGAATCAAAGGAGCGTACTCCACCATCGACTCGACGTCGTCGTGGCCGCGCCGCCCCGCCCGCCCGGCCTAGAGACTCAGTCGCTGCACAAGCTTAAATACCTTTGCGTATTACGCATACACTATATTACTGAATTACGCACTACAGAGGGCCAAGCACGAATAACTATCGCATTCGTATCGTAACAGTATCGAGCGAGTTAAGCGTTCTGATTGGTTGGTTCACTTGAGCCGGCCAATTCGATACTATTACGTTACGAATGCGATAGTTATTCGTGCTTGGCACTCTGGTGTATCCTGAACTTGTGCTCACAATTATCATCATCAACAGCTGGAAGCCTTCCACAGCTGGACAAAGGCCTCCCCCTTAGTCCTCCACGTCGAACGACAACTCGCCACCTGCATCCACTGGCGATGTTCACAATAGTTTTAGAATAATAGAATAATCTGTAATAAAGCTTAAAAACGTGTAAGTTGTTCGTTTAATTTCCATAAAAACTTAAAAAGATTATAAAAGGGTAGGGACTTTTTTTTTAAGGGAGAAAAATCATCGAATGACTGCTCCCGCCTGGGTGAGGCGGGAGGTAGTGTCAGACTCTTACTGACTAAAACCACCCCGTTCCTACTCCTGCACGTCGAGCCGGAGCCCCGGTAACCTGTTAGGTTCTCCGCGACAAGGGTAGGGACTAGGGAGTAGCAAGTATAAAAAAAAATTAAAACAAATAAAAATGTAAGTATTATACTTTATATATTTTACAAATTAAATAATATCTAATTGTATAGCAGGTATTTATTATGTACAATTACATTTTTTATAAATCAGTCCGTTTCTGTGTAATCTGAAACAATGAAATAACATATTTTTAAGTTACCGTTTAGAATCCCAACCAACCTAATCCAAATCCAGTATTTGGGTACTTGCCAACTAGTCAAATTCAATACTTTTTTCGAACTATCAAAATTACAGTTTTCTATGAATTTTGAGCGAGATTGTGTACTGTGACGTCACGTTTTTTCAACCGACTTCAAAAAAAGGAGGAGGTTCTCAATTCGACCCGTATGTTTTTTTTTTTTTTTCTATATTTGTTACGCGATTACACCGCCAATTATGAACCGATTTGAAAAATTCTTTTTTCGGCGTATAGGTAATACCTCAAGGTTGGTCCCATTTAAATTTACTAATAAAAATAACAACCCCCAAGGGTGGAAAATAGGGGATGAATTTATTTATACGCAATAACTCCGCCGATTTTAAACCAATTTGAACGATTATTTTTTTATTGAATAGGTATTATCAAAAGGGTGGTTTCATGCGAATTTGAAGAAAATATTTCACCCCCAAGGGTGGAAAATTGGGGGATGATTTTTTTATACGCAATATCTCCGCCGATTATGAACCAATTTGAACTATTATTTTTTTGTTGAATAGGTATTATCAAAAGGATGGTTTCATGCGAATTTGAAGAAAATATTTCAACCCCCAAGGGTGGAAAATTGGGGATGAAATTTTTTATGAAAGTCTAGAAGTCCGCTGCTCATCACTCTCCTTTAATATATTTTTAGCATTTCTTTCTCTACTTTCTTTTAAACGCACTTCCCTTTCTTCTTTTGTTTCCTCCAAACGGCGCTGTCTCATTAAGGCTGCGCGTTTAGTAGGCCTACCCATATTAACTCGTCGAGTACCGGTTTTATAGACACAATTAAAGAACAATAGGTCGCGGTCACCGGTGACCGCTTGGCGTTTGACAGATTAAATGCACTAAGGGTATCTACAAAAAAGTAACACTAAAAATTTTAAAATAAAATAATTAACTTTTTAAAAAAAATAAAACCGACTTCAAATGCGAGAAAAAAAAAAACTAAAAATTAAAAAATAATTCCTAATACCTATTACCTAATACTATAATTTTTCTAAACTATATCAAAGTAATTAAAGTTAAACCATCTAAATATCTTAAAATAGTTATACTTATATACCTACCTATTGTTTTTTGGAGTCGGTGCCAGTAATAAATGAATATTAAACCTAATGAAATAAGAAAAAGTACTCAATGAAACAAAAATATTAAGAAATAAGTTGTATGTAGCCTGGTACAACTAAACCTATACCAACAAAGAATAACAAATACCTACAAATCCTACAATAGAATACAACAAACAAAAAAGAAAGCAATAATTTGAAATATTGCGCATCCGAAAATTCAGTATTTTTGACACGAGCGTCAACGTAGTCTGCCCTCAAGCGTCTGCCCGCCTTCGGGTCGCTTACTCGAGCAAGACCGCACGCGCCCGCGTCCCCCGCCGCACCGCGCGGCCCCGCCTCGCGCCATGCGTCGCACGTCTCTAGTTCGCGGGTAAACTTTAATACGCTGGCACTGGCACCGACTCCAAAAAACAATAGGTAGGTATATAAGTATAACTATTTCAAGATATTTAGATGGTTTAACTTTAATTACTTTGATATAGTTTAGAAAAATTATAGTATTAGGTAATAGGTATTAGGAATTATTTTTTAATTTTTAGTTTTTTAGAATTAAGATTAAGTTGGTTTTCTTAAAATAGGGAAGATGCCTAATTTTTATTTTAATGTCCGTCTGAAAGATTATTTAAAATCATTAGACACGTATTTTTTCCTTTCTTATCCACAATGTAAATGTAGCAACATTATAACAGCTTCCAATATACGTAAATTCTTTTTCCTAGTCGATTCCCTCACTGCTGAGGATCGTGACTCCCTCTGACTTTTGCTCACTAGATATCGCCACTTACCTCGTTGCGTTGCTTGGTGCATTACTGGCCAAAGTATCACACGATCCTTTGCAAGCAAATTGTAGACAAGCGCTGTCTTTGTCTACTTTCAGAATAGAAACATTTGTACTGTAAGCTGTCCACGGTACTTAAATAAACAAACATTAATATTGTACGGTTCACGTACAACGGTTTTGTAATTTGGTTGCTGACGATGTGACTTTAATTAGTATATAATAATAATAATCACTGAACAATGAACTGCAGTTGACAAATTGCAATTGGCCCGGATTGGCATCCAACTTATACCTACTTTGTAACTTTTAAAAATAAACTATTTCTAGTGCTCAACCGTGATTTTACCACATACATACCAATAATAAATATGTACTACATACCAATCAATCCCTCAGTCGCAGCGGTAGTCCCCTAGCGACGACACTGCATGCGATCATGACGTAGGAACTGGATCCTCGCGCCCGACATACTGCGCGGAGTAAATCACGCTCCGATGGGACTTGCCCAGGATTCTCTACTGATGTATCTGAAAATATAAATTATCGTATTAGTTGTGTGGTAAATATCATCATTATTAGGGACACATTACGGCACTTAATTCCACTGTACAATGTAACACTCACTTTTCACTATTTATGTTATGAGTCCCGTGTAATAGGGGGTGAGCCATTTGCCATATACCGGACACATTTCCGGAATCCGTGCTACTACTGAGCTTTTTAAAAAACCCAGCAATACTTTGCCCGACCCGGGAATTGAACCCACCTCTTGCGACCACTTGGCCAATGAGGCAGTCTAGGTAAATTTGGCAATTGCGGTAAAAAGTGATAAACAATCCTGTCTTTACTAAATGGTAGTTGATTTCTAGATATGTATGTATATGCTAGTTAGTCAGATGCAAGTGAATATCATAAATGAACAAAATAAAATACATCATACTATGAAGATAGGTAACATCGTTAGTTCAGTCAGTATCTAGGATCTGAAAAAAGATAACTTTAACAATCTTTTTACTTTATTATGTTTTCGGCTTACTCACGTAATTATTAGACGAGGAACTCGGCTAGTTTCAAGCCAGTAGCAAGACAGTAGCTTGCATGTTTTGCGGCAAATAAATATTGCGTAAGTTTTTACAAATAAAAACAATAGCCATACTTTAAACATGATTTCGACAAATTATTATGTTTTCGGTTAACGCACTTAATAATTTAACGAGGCACTCGACTAGTTTCAAGCCATGCCAGTAGCAGCGCGACAGTCGCCGCGTCGCGGGTCGCGAAATGCTGCTCATGAATATGAGCCTTTAGCATGGCTTGAAACTAGTCGAGTTCGTCGTCAAATAATTACGTGAGTAAGACGAAAACATAATAATTTATTTAGTATGTCTCACGAAAGTTATAATACACATATCTTTTAATTACGATTTCAAGTGAAAATTGTGGAATCAAATCATAGTGTAGAGCGTCTTTAAAAAAAACCAGTAAAACAATAAAAAAAAAGGTGCGCAAACCACAACACATAGCGCAAAATACAAATTACATTGCGCAAATTCTACCATAATTAGCGCAAGTTCTATTACTAACCTAGTACTCGATTGCTCCACTTGGCCTTCCCGACATGTTGCCATGGTACTGGTGCGTCAGACGGCACGTACAGAGATACCAACGTGCTGATCACTTTGTCCACCTCCAGGTCAGTTACCTCCCATAGCATACCTATTACCATTGGGCTGGGGATGGAGAGAATATTTATAAGAAAACATGAAGTCAAAATTAAAGCATTTATTTCAATTAAATCATAATTTGGAACTTTTGAAACGTCAACAAATACAAATAAATAATAGTCTGTCAGTCAGTCCGTCAGTAAAGATAGGTGCTCGTTCCAAAAATAGATTCGAATGGAGAAGAACGATCAAGAAACTCCATTCGTTACTCTTTCTGAAATGACATAAATAAATTAGAATTAAAAATAAGGAAACAATGGATTGCTTGAAATATTGTCATTATCATTGTCAATAATAATTTTAATATTTATAGGTATAAAAATAAATTCAAGTACGGTCAGAATTAGAACTTGATGAACACATTTAGATTTTCAAAACCGCTGTATACCGTATTATACCTAAATCGTATAACATGACAAGCGCCTCAAATGTAACACAAGATAATTATTTATTTCTGGTGCTTGTCCGACCGATTTAGATAATACGCTGTAGAGCAATGTTGAAAATCTAAACAATCCAGCATTTTGGGAGCGTTACACCGTGTATAATTTTTGACATTTATATTGTCAAATCTATTAACAGATCAATTTTAATTTTATCCCTATAAATCAATTGTTTAATTGACCGGAGCGACTTTCTGGGGGATTAAAACGATTAAAATGTAACCGAATACAGGGGGAGGCCTTTGTTCAGTAGTGAATGTCTAGTAGCTGAAATGATGATGATGATGAGACGTACCAGCCCGCAATATGTAGATGGTGCTGCGCGGCGGCGGGCGGTGAGCGCGGCGCGGCCCGCGCCAGCCGCACGGAGCCGCAGCCCGCCAGCAACACCAGCGCGCCCCCCGCCCCCCCCGCCGCGCCCTCCACGCCGCCGCGCGCCCCGCGCCGCCCGCCAGCTGGCAGCCGTCGCCGTGCCCGCAGTATCTAGGGGGACTACATGTTCACTCACAGCACACGAAACTGACATACATACATATAAGGGTAGACAGAGACTATGGAACGCCAATTGCTACAACTCTTATATATATACAAAAAAATAATACACCAAAAATGTCTCGTATCACAAGTAATCTTTCGTTGCTTCCGTCCGTGCGTCACTGCAGGGGTGCCAACTGAAAACCAGTGTTGGGTACTTACTGTGCCCAGCTTACACTGAGTTGGCGAGCCCTTTCGTCGTGGACATGCCTGCCACCCTGTTACTTTTATTTTGCTATTTTTTATAGGTAATGTTTTTTTTCCCTTCATTGTTGTTTTTTTTTGTTATTTTATGTTTTTCTACTGTTTTCTTTTTATTTTTGTTTTTCAATGTTTATGTTGTGTGTTAATTTTCGGTGGCGAATAAATTATTTAATTATTTTTCTTTCTTTCTTTCTTAATCAAGTGAAAGTTGAAATTTCAGGTCAGAAGCCAAAAAAATCAATAGCATATTAATAATGATAGGTAAAATACTCACAAGAAAACGTCAGCTTCACTGATATGCGAGATGAAGTCTGTAGGAGACGGAGCCTCGCCTACATGGCCCTTCCAGTTTGGACACCAGTACTCCACGAACGAGGTCATACGGTTCTCCATGCGATCGAGGTTCTTTTCTGGAAGAATTGGCATGGGATTATCGACTTTATTACAGTAACATTGAAAATAATTAAAATCGATACAGAAATAATTAAAATGTATCGAAAATCTGCGAACATACATAATAATAAAACGAACAAATTGATACAATACCTCTTTCGTTTCAAAGTTAGTACAAATGTATGAAATGAAAAATGTTCATTTTGGTTTGAAATTTGTTAATTGAATATTTCGAATTTCGGAATTGTTTGTATCAAATAGAACTTGGGCTAAAGGAATTACAGCTTTTGTACATTTCAATATTTTAATTACATAGTTTTTCGGCTTACACACGTAAATATTTACCCGCGACGCGGCGATTGTCGCGCTGCTAATCACCGTGTCGCCGGTCACGGAATGCTCCTCATGAATACGAGCCTTTAGCAATGTTTGAAACGAGTCAAATTCCTTGTCAAATAATTACGTGAGTAAGCCGAAAACATAATAATTTATTTAGTATGCCTCACTCACCCCATGGTTGACTGTTAGAGAATGCCACCCGGCATTAAGTCCGCCATCGTATGTTTGTTATACAGAAGTGTTAATAAATAAATAATAAATAAATAAATACTATATTAACGATTAATTAATTTACCTGGGTTTATAACATATCTCCCGACGTCACACTTGGCCGCATAGTATCCATCGACAATATTTTTTTCATGCACTTTATACAGGTAGTACAAAAAGTGAATGTTCTCCATCCGAGATACAGGGTGCTGGTTCAGTATGGGTATCGTTTCCCATGGGAATGTGTCTAACCTCTGGAATTAAAAACAAAAAGTTGTCAGAGGTAACATTTTGAAAAAGCAAGTAGTAAGGCTTGGCTGTTATTATACCCATGAGCCCTTAGCATTTGAAACTGGGAGAGTTAACAGTAACTGATATCAAAGTTAGTATTTTTAATTTATTAAACCATAATATCTATAATAGGGTAGACGACTAATTTTTATTTTAATGTCCGTCTGATAGATTATTTAAAAACATTAGACACGTATTTTTTCTTTTCTCACAGAAACGAATAGTTTCGAAGATATATTGATTTGAAATGTCGCGTGACGTCACTTCTCAGTACATTTTATACTAAGAAATGATGTTTTAGCCCCCACTCCTAAACTTTGATTCGTTTTATCTATACTTCGTCTGTTTAGGTAGTTAACTATTTGTAAACAAACCATAAAAAGAGTTCTTTATAGTTGACATTTCCATGATTCAAAAATACATAAGAAAATAAAATTGTTTCCCTTTTTACGACAGTTTTCTCTATTAAATGTTATGTTTCTGTCCCTTTTCACTTATTTCTTAATAAATATTAAATATATCTGCTTGAGGATATTAATTTAATAACATTTATTAAATAATATAATATTTCATTACAATAGACACCATAAAGAGCCTAAAATCCCAGGTATCCAAAACGTTTCTTTAAGAACGAAGCAAAATAATGTTGTCAAATTAAAGAGTACAACGAAGATGTAGCGCGACATTGAAAGTAGCGTGTATTACGTTTAGTCGGTTAATCAGGCGCCATTGACAGCTCTCTCGTCGTTTGCGCTCGCGTTCCTATTTTGTTGAATTTAACTTGTTTCTTTGTTTTGTTTTTGTTATTAAGTTATTTAAGTTTAGGTTAATCATCGTTTGTAATTAATGTGTTCAAATATATTGAAGAAACTTGGCCCAAAGACAGATATCCGTACAAGAAGAAATCCGTACATCAGATTCAGAATAGTTTCTATTTAAACATGATAATGAAATAGACCCATAGGCTAGGCTCTTGTACGATTTAGGCATTTGTACTTGTATATGTGTGTATGACAAATGAACGATTTTAAAGTGAATTTAGTTAAAATTAAAACACGAGAAATATTTGAAGTAATAGTAGGTTAAGTATCTCTGTGTCACGTGGTTTTCTTTGTTTACCTTTAGTTAATTACCTAAACAGATGGACTATAAGTATTGTTTTATTATACGACAAAATAAAAAAATACGTGTCTAATATTTTTTCATTACCTAACTTACGGACTAATTATATTTTTAATTTTCATACCCTGTCATCATCCCCATTCTGTCCCACTTCAATTCGACCACTGCAGTTGTACTGCAGCGGTCGAATTTATCAATTGTAAAGTTCAATGTTGTGATCAAGTGACTGCCTCGTTGACCGAGTGGTCGCAAGTGCGACTGCCGGGCAAGGGGTCTCGGATTCGACTCCGGGTCGGGCAAAGTATTACTGGGTTTTTAAAAAATTCTTAGTAGTAGCACGGAGTCTGGAATTGTGCCTGGCATATGGCAATAGGCTCACCCCCTATTACATGGGAATCATAACATAAATAGTGAAAAGTGGGTGTTACATTGTACAGTGGCATAATGTGCACCTCTGCCTACTGATAAAAGGCGTAATGTTATGTTATGTAAAGTTCAATGTCAATGGATCACATAAAGAGTTGCTACGTGCCGGAATCGAACCCGCTACACGTTGCGCGGCAGAAGCTTGCCGTAGCGGGTGTGTGTCTGTCGTAGAAATTGGTCCTGGGCACGGGCCTTAGAGTGCCTTATGATTAAGACGGTACTTCTTACATCACAAGTGTAATTATAAACTTACCTCATCAACAATAAGAATAACAGGATGCCTCTTAGCCTTCTTCAAACCTGTCCATTCATCACCATCTTTGACTATAGAAGCCGTTTGAGAAAACGCCTTGATACCATCGACTAAACTAAAATGATGTAACTTTTCAAAACTCTTGACAAACACTTCAAACAAAGTTCGTTTAAAAATCGAAACTCCTTGGTGCAACTGCCACATTCTGAATTCAAAACTTGTCTGACATCTTCAGTGTTGCCATATTCAGTCAATATTCTTCGGATACAAGATTTAATTTGTTGTGATTGCAACACTGGACTGCATTCTATTAGGTTGTAGAGTAAGATTTTTTGTTTTTGTGTTAGCCTGATGAAACTGGAAAAGAAATATGTATTTTAAATATGTATATTAAACTTGATTAAAATTAGATTTAATTTTTACTGTGCGCTAAACTAATAAGTATAAAGTTTTGAAATCTATTCTAAGATGCTTTTTTAAAGAAATGATGTCCCATTCTAGGAATTTCTCCTGTATCGTGTGTGCGTTTACAAACATACAAATTCACATACACAAGACACCCAGACCCAGACAATCTGTGGATCACGCAAAGTGTGGTTCAGTGCGGGTACCGAATCCACGACACGTTGCGCGGCAGCCAATTGCCCAGCCACCGCGCCAACCGTGCAGTATTTTGGGATATATAACATCACATAATAACTTTTACTTGATTATGCTTCTAAAGATATTTTCATTATTAAATAATCATAGCAGTTTATTAGAGCCAATATACTCAACTCTAAAATAACAACCTTTTTTAAAGAAATCATGTATTTTGTCACTTACCCCCAATCCAATATGGCGTTGTCAACTAATTTGACGACCTTCTCCTTCCAGCTCTTGTCTATAAGTTTACCGGTCAGCAAGCAGCCCCAGCCGCCCAGCCATTCCTTGTCCATTACATTTATTACACTCTGAAAGAAAAAATCATAAAAAATTGTAAATCATGTTAACTATGCCTACCGTGTATAAATCGAGAATGTCCAATTAGATTATGTTAACCCGTAGAGCGTCCGCGTTCCTTATGATCCAAAGGGTGCACATAAGGACGCTCGAGGGGTTAAATATTAGGGGGCAACGTTTTTATACTCACTAAATATAATAACGCTAATGTAGCAGGAGTTCCTGATTTTACAATCTCCTAGCATCAAACAGATTGCTGTTGGACAAAAAGGAAATCATTCTATATTAGTACTGTTTGACAATAGGATTAAAATGCAATGTTACCTTCATCCGCAAGTCAATGTCCTCCCGCCGACTCCAGTAGTTCTGTACAAGGCGTTTATTGTTCAGAAACTGAGCATTGTCTATAGTTTTGTAGTTCTCATCCAATATCGAGAATAACTCGGTAAATAGAGGCTTTTCTCCTTCTGAAATATACAAAAAATCTTACTTTAAGTAAATAAAAAAAGTATATTTTAAAAGTAGTTAAGGCCAACTGTCCAGAACTGTTCATAGGATGTGGACTCAAGGAATGACATTTAACTTTATAATTGTAATGGCTAATTATTGCATGTATAAGTTTTAGAATGTAGGTGTATTGTACAAATTCAAACACAATGTAATAATTGTTAATGAATAAATAAATGAAATGAAATGAAATGTCGAACGAGAATGTTTTTATTTAAATTACATTAACATGGGAAGGTTAGGATGTCTGGAGTCCGCACCTAGAAAAACTCTGTGAACATTAAATAAAATTAAAAATAATATTTTAAAGAGATTTTAAATTTTCAGGCATGTATTTTTATCTAAGTATGTTCGATGGTAAATAAACTATTATTAATATTAATAAAACAAGCCTTATATTTCCCAATTTAAAAAGCAAATCTACATTTCCAAAAAAATATGTTTTATCATCTTTCTCAATTTTTTGCTATACCTAGACAACATACTCCAGCAACACGCAGGATAATATCGTCATGTAAGAACATTAAACATTACAAATGTCGCTCCACTATTAGGCTAGCTACACCTTAGTGGAGCCCACTCAACGTCAATAGACATCGCGGCAGACCCAAAAGGAGATGGCGGGAGGAATTGAACATCTATGACAAGGATTGACCGCAAAAAGCTTTACATAGAGAGGAGTGGAAGGAGGGTAGAGAGGCCTTTACCCTGCAGTGGGACGATCGTGGCTGAAAATAAAATAAATAAACACCTGTCCATGGTCGGTGCATCACTAAGCATCAGATGATCCTTCTACAGCCGATAAAAGCAATACCATACCTTTAGTAACATTTGCAGGTACATGAACAGTCATAGGTCCCAGCCTGGCGTCCTCCAGGTAGTCATTGGTGAACATGCTCAGGTACAAGGCGTCCACCTCCGTTCTATACTCCAGGAGCGGTTTCAAGTTCTCGTTGGGATTGTACGGCACAGTCAATTGGATAATTGTCCACTCTGGAATGAAGTAAAAAAATATGTTATTTCTGATGGCTTAGTACCTACAAGTTATTAACAAAACATAACATCACGCCTTTTATTCCCGGAGGGGTACGCAGAGTAACACCCACTTTTCACTATTTATGTTATGAGTCCCATGTAAGGGCTCGTACACAAAACTGCGATGCGACGTCGCATAGCAAAAATGTGCGAGCTCCCTCCACGCATCGCAAGAACTTGCGAATTGTTTCGCATCGCGCATCAGTATCTTCCCATAATCTCCCGTTGTTTCTTTTTCCTGTATCTCCTAAGCAATAACAGAAGTACACACTTCTTTTTACGATCCACGTTACGATCTATTATAGTTTTCAATTTAAAATACGTTTAGTACGGTTAACGGTCGTCGAAGGAATGGTCACCCTGGGAGCCTGGTCGCACGAAATCGCACCGCAGCAATTCGCATCGTAATTTTCTGCTTACAGAATTCGCATCGCTGTTTTGTGTACAAGCCCTAATAGGGGTGAGCGTATTGCCATATACACATAGACCACGTGCTACTACTGAGTAGTTTTAAAAACTTCAGTGAGACTTTGCCCGACCCGACACCCCTTGCCCGGCAGTCGCACTTGCGAACACTCGAGTTAGTTACGGTTCGAGTTAGTGTCACATTAAAAGTAATCGAAAAGACCGCGTTCGTTGCCCCGATTGGTTGGTTCATCGGAGCCGACCAATCAGAGCGCCGCCGAACGATTTCGATTACTTTAATCGTAACACAAACTTGTTATCAAGTGATATTACTTTTATAAAATACGTTTAAAAAAACCGACATCAATCCCCTCTTTTCTTAAAGTCGGATAATTAATATACTCAAACCTCCTAAGTGTAACAAACATTTTATTGAAAATCGCATCAAAATCGGTTCCGCCAATCGTGAGATAATACACAAATTACACATGCGCACAAACATACCTACAGGTCAAATACAGAACCTACTTCTTTTTTTGAAGTCAGTTAAAAATGAGTACAGTTATACGCTGTACCCTTTAGGTGATAAAAGCTAATTAAATTAATGAAGAATAAGACATAAATAAATTAGAAGTGACCTAATTTCATTCCCAATTACTACTAGCATAGATACTATAAATAGTAATGTAACGCCGAATATTTGTGCGACGCGTAACTCATGAATGACTGCACCGAATGGGATGATTCTTTTTTAGAACAGTCGTCATAGGCATGTTTGTATGTATGAGAGATTCGTCATTTTTCCCAGAAGAGTCGAGGATGATCTCTAATCTATACTTACTATCATTTTGATGTTCATAATATATGATCCAGATATAACAAGGTGTAATTCTGTATACAAGTTAAATATTTACTCTGAAATGACTAAAATATTGTTTTTAAGTCTTTCACCATTATTTAACTTACTTCTCAGGGATGACTACCTTGTTGGCCGAGTGGCTGCAAGTGCAACTACCGGGCAAGGGGCCTCGAGTTCGATTCCCGGGGCGGGCAAAGTATTACTGGGGTTTTAAAAAAAATTTCAGTAGTAGCACGGAGTATATGGCAATAGGATCACCCCCTATTACATGGGACTCATAAAATGTATAGTGAAAAGTGGGTGTTACATTGTATGGTGGCATTGAGTGCCGAAATGTGCACCTCTACAAACCTACATAAAAGGTGTGATGTTATGATATGTGTTCAGGGAGGAACATATAATTACTTTTAATATATCCCAAACTTTTTTATCATACAGGCAAAGTCTAAATTCACAATCATACCTTTAGGCAACTCTTTCAGTATCTTCTGAAAGTTGTCCACATTGTTCTCTTTGGAGAAATGAAGATATCTCTTGTGAAATGGCACCTCCTTGTCTATTGATAATGTTTGTAATATGTTGGTGATGTCGTCTGTGCCTTCTGATAGGAGATCTAGGAGCTTCTTCTCTTTCTTTGGTCTGGAAAAAATAGTTTATTCTTCATTTTTTTAATTAATTTTTTTTGCTGCCATGACAGTGATGCATGGAGCTAATAACTTAAGACAGCAGTGGACAGAAACAGATTGCAGATGACACATATCATGAAATTAATGTCTGGTATTTTTAAAGACACGAGATTTATTCAGTTCCAGTACTACCTACTATGTCTTTTACAGACCATATTGTCAAAAGTGGCGTAACTACAGGCTGGCAAGTCAACAAACTGCCACGGGCCCCCAGCTCCGAAGAGGCCCCGTTCCATACATTTCATCTTTTTATTGGGTATGGGTGCCCACCTTCTGGTGCCCATCTGTGGGTTGTCTTAATGTGATTTAGTACTCTAACCATTTACAATAATTTATTGTGGAGATTAATCTATGTTTATTATTTAATCTTCCATAGATTCCAATTCCAATAGGCTCACCCCTATTACACGGGACTCATAACATATATAGTTAAAAGTGGGTGTTACATTGTACAGTGGCATTAAGTGCCGTAATGTACACCTCTGCCTACCCTTACGGGGATAAAATGTGTGATGTTATGTTCTTCCAAAGAAAATGATAATTACGTAATCTTCAACAATTCAATGTCCAGTCAATGACTTATAACAAAAGAAATACTTACATAGGATTATCATCTATCACTTGTTGGACTGGTTTTATGTAGCTTGTGATCTTGTGTAATTTGTTTCCTGAAACATAATGAAAGAAATATTGGTCTATTATCAAAGAAACACAGGCTATGAGAATGATATCTTATGACTGGAACTAGCTATAGAAGTGGTATTATTTGGCTCATCCATAGGAGTGCTGGTGCGCAAACATCAAACATTAATGTCTACAAAAACATTTATTAAATTCATAAAAAAATGTTTATTACTTTTTAAACTGTCAAACACCAAGCGGTCACCGGTGACCGCAACCTATTGTTCTATAATTGTGTCTAAAATGACGGTACTCGACGAGTTAATATGGTTAAAGATCTCTTTTGAACATCACCTCATTAGTATACTCAAATATACAAATATAAATACACCAAAAACCATAGTTCCCTATTTTGGGGCTTGTAACATAAGTAGCGCAAAGATAAACCTTCCGGGAATAAAATAGTGTACATGAGACTGACCACCCTTTCAAGAAAATTGTTAGTTTTAAGCCATAATACTTAACTTTTATTATAACAGAATGTTTATAAACATACCAGCGGCCTTCAACTGTTCATCTCTATACACAGCCATGGTCCTCAATGACGCTGAAGCTGCCTCACTTAAATGGAATGCGCAGCCGACGTCATCGTTACTCGCTAGACATTCCTCAGCCATAAGTTTCCGACCACCTTGAAAAAAGAATAAATTATCACAACATCCATAAAAGAATGGAAACAAAAGCCTTTTGTATTTAAAACTATCTATAAATTACTCCATTATACTTTTTATTTCATTTCCCGTAGATTAATAACTTCATTAAGAAATAATAATAGGAATTTTTCATAATTTTTTTACAGAAACTTACTTTGATAATTCGGTCCGTTAGGAGTTGAGGGCACATCATTCACATATTTATTCAATATGTTTTTGAATAACGGTTTTGTAAAGTTTATTTCATTTGTAAACACATCGAAGTCTTCCATATTTTACAACACTTTATTCACTTTCATACAAGTTAAACTAAATTCTTCGTAAATAAATGTTTACATTGAATTTAAATTTGACATAACGAATTTAAGTTCCAGGTTTAACTTGATTAATAAATTACATTTGAAATTTAATTTAGAATGCTGCTTTTTTTTCACTTACTGGAATCCGATAGAGATGCAAGATAAATTCTTGCTAAAATTAAAAAACTTTGTTACTTGGAACGCGCCACATCAAAATCCGTTACATCGTGCGTTTCGTTTTACAAAGAATTATGTTTGCCCCAGATTGATACAACAATAAATGAAAACAGTTATTCATTTATATTTAGTTTCACGTAGATGTATAACTGATGATCCGTAATTAAAATGATGTGTCAACAATTCAAGAAATGCGTGCTGATTTATTACAATTTATCTTTTATATGGATTTCTGTCGAACTTTCTATTCGCATCATAATGAGCTGCGAACGTAAGAATATTAATAAGATATGTAGGGTAGGTAGCAAGCATCGATATTCCATCCATCGGTATTCTATGTTTTATTATTATTCAAACAGCATTCTTATGTTGAGTTGCTTAACGCGACACACCTGTGATACTATTATGTAAACTACAAACTGGGTCTTAGCGATTTTATGACTACAATTTAAAAAAAACAATAAACTTTCGTGAGCAATATGTATTTTCAGTTTGTAGGCCATTTAAAAATAATATATTGCTTTGTTGGTGCAATGGACGACTGGTTGTTCCGCAGTGTTACGAGTTCGATTCTCATAGGGAAAAATTCTTAGGAGATCTTGTAAATTTGTTATACCGATTTGTACATGTGATGTGCATTCGTTACTTTAATTTTTTTTAACCTGTCGTGTGCAGATCAGGTATTTTCTATTGTGTTTTATTTACGGCAGTCTAGAGGTTACAAACATCATTTTGAACAATAAATACAATCATTTACATCCTAATTCTCATCTACTTAACTCGTCGAGTACCGGTTTTATAGACACAATTAAAGAACAATAGGTCGCGGTCACCGGTGACCGCTTGGTGTTTGACAGTTTAATAGCAGGTAAATAATATGTTTCAAATTGTTCGTTAGGTGGTGTTAAGTGTAATGTTACCTCCCTCATTGGCCGAGTAGTCGCAAGGGGTCTCGGGTTCGATTCCCGGGTCGGGCAAAGTATTAGCAAAGGTTTTTAAAAATACTCAGTAGTAGCACGGAGTCTGGAATTGTGCCTGGTATATGGCAATATGCAATAGGCTCACCCCCAACTTTAATAGTGGAAAGTAGGTGTTACATTTAACAGTGGCATTAAGTGAAGTACTGTAATGTGCCCCTCTGCCTACCCCTTCGGGGATAAAAGGAGTGATGTTATGTATGTGGTGTTAAGTTCGTGAGGATATCTGTCGGTATTACTTTGTAATGCCAAAAACCGGTATTCTATGTTAAAACTAGAACAAGCTATGCTAATAACAAAGAATTTTAAATTACCAAAGAGTTTGCAACCTCTGCATTAATTAGGCAATGCGGTACAATGAATCAGACTACAATTTTATTAATTTGAAGGGCTCAAGGTAAGATTTTAGTACATGAAAAGACCATAAAATATTTTACAACTTTTATTTCAAAATAAACATAAACAATGCGCAAATTAGTTAACCGTCAATTTGCCACATTACAATATTACCGACTTTCACGTCGTAAGCAATTATACTCTTGGTAAGTAGGGTAAAATAAACGTTTCTAAAGATTTTTAAGTTAAAAATAACTGAAAGTGGTTACACTTATATTGACTAACAAAAATGCTCCTTAAAAATAGTACAAAAAATATTAGTGGCACTGTTAAACATTCTACAAAACCATACAAAATGTGTAGCAGAACGCAGAACATTTTCGTAAATTGTGCAAATATAAGGCACAAAAATGTATAAATTTAATAGCCGAACAACAAATATGGCCGAAAAACTTGAATACAATTCATTATGCTTATATCAAAAAGTGCCTAATAATATAATTACTGATATAAATAAAGAGGTAAACTTGAGTATATGTGATGGAAGTGCAAACAGTGGACGTCGTTTGCACTTACTGACAACTCGAACACGTAAGGTTTACTATTTTCAAAAAATAAGGATACAATACTGACGAATAATACATGACAGTGTCTACAAAATACATAAAGTAATACAGTATACTTATGAGGCCTAACAACGAGTCATCGGTCAGCAAATCGAGCGAAAGTTCGCACCAAGTGCTTGATGTATTTATATCTAAAAAATACCAAAAACATAGGTATAGTAGACAGTTTATTTTACGCGTAGTCGCATACCAACGGGATCACGACCCAATTGCTAAGCCTCAAGTAAACAACGATAATATGCTAAACTGTAAACATGCCGCGAACTCAGTTTCACGAGACCAAATGCTATGCAAAACAGCATAACAAAATCAGGTAAAATCTGATAAATTCATTACCGCTGTTATTACTACAAAACAATTGACTCTTAATAGGATATGTTACTTTTATTATGCTTCTACATATAACAAAATTTACCTAAACATATTTATCTTTATCACATATGATTATTGCATACAGTCAAAGTTTTGCAACTAGTGCAGGAAATCTGTTTTCGCGGCACGCCCACAGCGCCACTTAAGTTTTTGTTCAGTGTAGAAAAAGTACTAAACAAAGCAACAGTTTTGCTATAGTCATTTAAGCAAAAAGCATTTAAAATATCACTTAATTTTTAACACATTTCTACTTAACGATAACACAAAAATAAACTATTCGAATGAATTCAACATGTTTAGAAATATTTTCGTTATCTATTACGATATTTTCGTAAATCACATAGGAAGTCTGAAGACGAAAACGTTAATAAATTCTGAGAACTATCTAACTAGTTAGTGTTTCCGTGGTAAGTTTAGTTCATTATATAAATCTTGTATACCAAAGTGTTATTCACAAACAACAAATCACGTACTAAACTTTGTGTTACTGAATAACTACTAATATTATGTATAAAACCTACTAATTCATAAATATTAATTGAATACAAAGGCATTCGTCGATATGACTCGAAGGCACATTTTTCAAAACAAAAGTTAGGATTTAACCTTCGCGGTTCTCCATCACACGTACGTTATAAAGTTAATTTGCATGTCTACGTAACGCGATCTACCGCATGTCTCTATAACATTCTACGTGAAATAAACTTTTAAATTGATTTCTCCAAGCACCTCAACTACTATAAATACATCTCTCAATAACGCTAACCCTATACCATACCACTTTTTAATAATATTAAACGTGATTAATAATCTACTAGTAAGTCTAACGTTTATAAATATTTTACATTATAATAAAAAAAAAAACTATTGTATACACCTATTATTGCCCTCTTCGATATACATTTAGTAGTGTCGATCTCTACTAAACATTAGCGTATAAATAAATAAATAGGTATATACACTTGACTTAAGATAACGGAAAGATGCTCGATCATATCGTGATGCGCAAGATTAAAGATTATGCATGCTTATCAAAATTTATCTTATTTACAAATTCAGTGTAGATCGAGAAAAAAGGCCTTGAAATCTATCACATTTAAGTTTGGGATACTTAACAGGCAATAGCCAACATAAAAGAAACTACTGCAAACTTGATAAACAGCAAATACTGTCATTTCCAGATGAAGGAATTAAGTAGCCGTTGTATTATGCGAATTACTGTTGCATTTATTCGAGTGTACGCGTCCGTCTTCGCTCAAATGAACATATAGCGTAGGCGTTTATACACTTGGCAATGCACGACCTCACAACATGCTTAATTTATTCTATCTCGCACAATCGCACCGGTATCATACCCCCGCAAAACTAGTTCAAATTAATAAGTGTTTAAGATGCGTGGGGCCGGACGAAATATCATAAAACTTAAAAATATATAAAATGATCACATACATAAAGAGTTCCGAAAACTAAACTGTGGCACCCAGAAAACGGAAGTACAATAACAATCTGAGTGTTGATCAAGACATATTGTTGATGCCCACTCTTTTGCTCAAAGGAGTTGCATCGAGGATCCTTTCGTTTGCTTTGTCTTCCTCCCTGAAGTGAATCCGCGTGATCACAATGTCCCCTGTACTGAGAGTTTGTGAACCAACCTCTGTTTTCTTAGTTTCATTGAGATCATTGCACTTGACTTCATCAGAATTGGAATTATGGCATCTGCAGCTACAGCTTTTCCTATCAGGCTCTCCTAAGTTCAAAATTTGGCTTAGATTGGACCAATCCTTATTTTTGAGCAATGGCAGTGTCTGTTCCATTGTTTGTGAGAATTTATCCTCCAACTCTCCACTGAGTGGTGCGACCGCCGACAGAATGGCTTCGAGACGGTTGATTTTCTCAACTTTATCCATGTTTGTGTCTGACAATATTTCATCCATCATTTGCATAGATTCTGTGAGACTTGGTGGTTGTGTGGAGTGTGGGGACGATATTGGGTCAGATGGATTAGATTCCAGGCTGGCCATTTCATTTTCTCTTTCATCGTCATCAGAGTCAGAATCTTTATCATGTCCAATAGCTTCAAGTTTCTCCAATTTCTTGGATATCTTGTGACAACCTTTCAATTTTTCTTTTTCCTCTTCAGTGAGCTCAATGTATCTGAGTAGTCTGATCTCTCTGTTGCTCAGCACAATATTTTTAGTTGTCTCAGCCAGTTTTTGCTTCAACTCACCAACTTCTGTGTTAATTTTTCTTTGCCTTTTTCGCAATTTAACTTCAGTTGGTTGAATGTGCATGAATACTTGTTCATTGCTCAGTTCTTCAAATAGCTGCTGATTCTCAGGTTTAATATTACTGGACATGTATGCATAAATAGCTGGGTTTACTAAGGACAGGACATCAGAGGCAGAGTAAATGATCATATCTTTTGTCAATGGTCTCCTTGCCCAGTAGCGTTGGTCCCTTCGGTATACATTTTTCAATTGTTCTTTCATAGGGTTCATAGGAGCATTGTACAATTCACATAAAGCATTAAGACTTAGATTCTTGACTTTGTAAACAGGCACACCCTGTTGTTGCAATTGTAGCACAGCGTGCGCTGCTTGAGTGTCAAAAACATTCTTCAAAACAATCTCAAATTGATTGTGTAAATTGACTGAATCATTCCTACAATCATGTATAATTTTAACTACATTTTCGCTCTCTAACAGTTCCTTAATTTTACCCTCCACAACCATGCCTGGACATGCCATTATATCTAGTATGTACACTTCACCATTCATGGTGGCTATTTGACACAATGTCAACACTCCTTTGAGGCCAAGGTTTATACCTTCACAATCAAATGAGACAATATTCTTAGCATTACGCTTGGGTACCATAATGCTTTCAATCAGTGTAGCACATTCCCTGACATTAGCTATGACAGTTGTGCACTGGAGCACCTTCTGACGCCACGCCTCACCCATTAAATTATTTCTTAAACTTGGAGTTCCATTTGTTTCTTCAGCACTTCGAGCATTCAAATGATTATTAACTCTGTCACGAACCATGTTCTCTGCCAAATTCTTTATGACAATAGAATTAATTCTCTGTTTAAGAGTCTGGTTGGCAATGTTAGCTTGTGGTCCTCGGGGAGATTCTATAGGACTGAGTATTCTGTTGTTTGCTGGGCTCTTTTTGCCGTCTGATGGAGTCGGACTCTCTACTGGGGGGGGACTTGGGGATATAGGTTTCTCTTCAACCACAGGCTTTGGTATATCAGTCTTTGCTTTTGTTTTTGCGTTAAGATACATAACAGGTATTTTTGGTTTACTAATTAGTGTGACCAAGTTTGATTGAACGTGGAATGAATCTGAAAATATCTTTAAGAATGCGCTCAAGTCGGCAGGAGACTTGAACATCTGATACCAATACTCTTGTGGAAAACGTGATACAATTAAATGGAAGAGCTGGTCTACCATCACAGGCCCTTTGGCCTCTATGCACTGTGCAACATAGTCTAACAACTGTTGGGCAGTGTCTGTGTTAATATTAGCTACAGGTAGATTGTGGAATTGTTCAGAATTTGTGTGTGCGTTACCTCTCCTATGATTCTCACTGACTAGAACGACGTTGTCATCGATGATCTGGAAGGTGTCCGGGTGCTTCAGGAGGAAGTCCTTGAACTCCTTGATCCTCTGACCGGAGATGTGACGCACCTGCGGGGAGGCCTGGCTCCTGTGCCCTAGGAGGCTTTTGATTGGCACCTCTGTGCCCTCGCCGTACTGGACCATCTTGCCGGCGAAGTACTCCTTCGCTTCCTCGATGTAGTCGTTGTTGGACGAGGCGCCAGCCCCACAAGGATGCTTCTGGAACGTGTTGATATCAACATAGTCCCCGTCTATGCTGAACAACGCCGGGTATTGAGCCAGGAACTTCTTTAAGCCCGACTGCGACCCGCCAGCAATCTGTCGCATCTCCTTGGTGAATCCTTTGGCACCAAACTGGCAGGAAAGATCGTGCAACGTGCGCGGCTCGCCTTTGTCGAGCAGGCGTTCCACAAAGAACAACAGAGTAAGGTTCCTAGCGAGCTCATATTCCATTGATTCCATTTCCCTGCAGTTGGTGCCAATGTGTTTAACTTAAACTAAATTTTTTCTACGTATATGTGTCACCCACAACACCATGAAATTTTTCTTTTCTATCCGCACCTGTACCATAGACTAAAGATGAAAGTGAAGTGCTGAATTGCTGATCTTATAGATAACTAATAGATACCAAAACAAACTATTAAAAGTTTACGACGTTTTATAATATTCAAACACATTACATAACATAATATGAATATAACTTTATCGATTTTTACAATCTTGATTACAGCTATTTTTTGATAACTAGCGTATAGCGCAGTAAGTAACTAGTAACTACTAAACTAAGTTTCGGTGTAATCATTTCAATGATGCAATAATATGTAAAATGATTATGAACAATTTATACGGTTAGCTTAATTTATATAAAATATTGTCAACTAGCTTCTGCCCGCGATTTTATTTTTTTTTTCGTTCCCGTTCGTGTTTTTCTGTAAAAAATAAAAAACTATTGGATAAAAAGAATCCTATGTCTATCTCCTAGTTCTAAGCTACCTCTTCCCCAATTTTCATCCAAATCAAATTAGCGGCTCTTGATTTATAAATAGATAAACACGATTTTTTATATAATGATATAATTGTAGCTATTTGGAATTAATATTAGTATTTTTAATATTTTAGTTGACTACTTGGCAATCAAAGTACATCACTGTAGCATAGAGTAGATGGCCTGCTTTTTCTTAACGGTACAAATGCATGATGAAGATTAAGCTCAAATTGAATTAAGCTATTTTTATAATAATACTAATTAATATTAATAATAAACTATATTCTTCTACTTTAAGCAATTATTTTATTTCAGATACAGTTATTTTTAATCGACGTAATTCAAAGCTCAATGTGCTCTCATATTTCTAAACGTTACATAAATGTCAATTTGACAACTGACTGATTTGTTGAACTGGTTCTGTGGTGTTTCGTGTTTTCTGGTTGCTGTAATCAGTACTAATTATATATAGTTGTATTTCTTTTCAGTTATAATTCCACGAATCATAATTAGTGCAGCACCGTAAATAACGGTTTTCTTTAACCATATCCCACAATAGCAACATCATGGTAAGTAGTTTTTGTCAGCGTCTGAACACGGAAACTGAGACACCCACTTTTTAATTGAATCGATGTTTTGTCTGATTATGCCGAGTTCAGATTGACATCCGCTCCTCGGAAGTTGGAAATAAGAATAATATACTCCTAATTGTAATACGTGTGAATTGGTTTCCAATTGGACAAAAATGGTAGTAAAGTTTCTAAGTTATTGTATAAGTAACTCTAATTCCTAAATTCCACAGATTATATATAGAATACAATTGAAATATATTTTCTATTTATTTCAGTTGGTGTTAGTACTTGGTGATCTGCACATTCCTCATCGCTGCAGTAGCTTACCTCTGAAATTTAAGAAGCTGCTGTTACCTGGCAGAATACAACACATTCTGTGTACCGGCAACCTCTGTACAAAGGAGTCCTATGATTATTTGAAGACTTTAGCCAGCGATGTCCACGTTGTTAGAGGAGATTTTGATGAGGTTTGTTCAGTAGAAATAGCTATTATTAATCACTAGCTATGGCTGTGCGGTTTCACCTACTGCTCAGCTCCTATTGGTCATAGCATGATGTTTTATAGCCCACAGCCTTCCTCGATAAATGGACTATCTAACACATAAAATAATTTTTCAAATCAGACTAGCAGTTGCTGAGATTAGTGTGTTCAAACAAACAAACTGTTCAGCTTTATATAATACAAAATTGACATAATAAAAGTTAACACCAAGAATAGCTAGTAATAGAAAAGAATAGCCAGTAATAGAATAGTGTATTGTATAATTATAAATATAAAGTACTTTATAAGTTTATATGAGATGGTGCCTGCCGTTTTGCCGAAAAGATTTTGACAAAATTTCATTACCTAAACAAGTTTTAGCACACTTTTTAATAGCACTGCAATTTTTCCAATGATTACATAACATACATAACATCACGCCTTTTATCCCCAAACAGGTAGGCAGAGGTGTACATTATTTATTTATAGTTTATTGCACACACAGAAAAAAATTGTAAACATTGCATTATGGCACTTTAATGCCACTGTACAATTTAACACCCACTTTTCACTATTTATGTTATGAGTCCCATGTAATAGGGGGTGAGCCTATTGCCATATACCGGGCACAATTCCAGACTCCGTGCTACTACTGAGATTTTTTGAAAAAATCCAGTAATATTTTCCCCGACCATTCGTCAGATTCGTCAGTCGTCGTCAATTGCGACTACTCGTCCAACGAGGCAGTCAAATTTATTACAGCAAACAATTATCAGACAGTAAACGTTTGGTGAAATGATGTGTTAAACAAATAAATAGTAAGGTTTGGCTAAGATTTTTTGGAAATTAATTAATTAAATTTTCATGGATGAAAATTGTTGAAAAAGATACCCTAAATGTGTTCATACAAAAGTAGTCTCTAAACATTGGAAATAAGGTCTATAATGTAGTTAGTGGAGAGGATTTATGGACATAGTTAGAGTAGGGTATTTATTAAAAACATGGTTAGGTTGTGCTTCAAAAGGTAGTGACAGAAAGGAATAGCTGCAAAAACAGATTTTCTGTGGTAAAACCGATTTTCTTTTCTGCTCTACCGATAGAGTGTAATTTAAATTCGCGTAGGCGCAGCGGGTAGGGGGCCCGCGAGCTGAGAAGCAGGTGGTTTAAAGGCAGAAGTTGTGACAGAAACTATGCTTGCTGCATGTACTGTTGTTCCAAATGAAATATTTGACGAAATAAAAAATATTAAAAGTGCTAGTTGGTAAACAAGTTATAGTTTATATGTTTATTTCCCAAACATTAGGTTTGTGTTCCGATTTTTTATTTGGCAAATGAAATTATGTGAAATATTTTTTAGGAAGTGAAAATTTGTCAATTTCCTTTCGATCAAACAAAGGAGACCCATCATACATAAGTACCTATTTTACTATTGATCTCATGAAATAAAACATTACTTTCAGATTTCAACATATCCAGAACAAAAAGTTATTACCGTAGGCCAGTTCCGTATTGGTCTCATTCACGGTCATCAAATTGTACCATGGGGTGACGAAGAGTCCCTGGCACTGGTGCAGAGACAGCTAGACGTGGACATCCTCATATCAGGCCACACGCATCGGTTTGAAGCGTACGAGCATGAGAACAAGTTTTATATCAACCCTGGATCAGCTACTGGAGCCTTCACACCTCTCTATCAGTAATATTGCATTTATTAACCTACTAGCTTTTATCCGCGGCTTCGCTCGCGTCACAAAAGGATAAAAAGTAGCCTATGTGACATATACCAATACATACAGCGCCATCTATACCAATACTTTTGTTTTCCCTCGGAAATATCAAATTTTTCCGGGATAAAAAGTACCCTATTATTTAATCCAGACTTCTAACTTTACGTCTGCGAAAATTTAAAGCAATCGGTTTAGTAGTTACGGCGTGAAATCGGAACAAACAAACAAACTCACTTTCCGATTTATATATTAGTAAGGATAATCTATTTATTCATTAACACTTCCTTTTTAATAATGAATGTTGTCCCACACTAAGATTTTCTCCTGTGTCGTAGGTGCGTTTACAAACATACAAGTTGACATACCCATGACACCCAAGCCCAGAACAAAGAAGTGTGTGAAGTTCCACAAATTGTAGTCAAACTTCACAAAAAAACTTCGATTTAAGATTCAATAGTATTACTTAGATAATACGAAGTCAACCTTTGATCCTTCAATATCAAATTAAAATAAAATGGAAAAAAAATTGTGCAGTTATCAATCCCAGTTAATATTATAGAATACTAAATTAAGTTGTAGTTGTAGTGACAGAATAGTCACAGGTATAGTCAAAGGTCAAAAGTCCACTGCCACCGTGAGTGATGTTCACACGGCAATGCGTAAGTAATTTCATATTAATGTGCATAAAAACGCGTGCATACGCAAAAACACACGCACGTGTACGCACACGGATAATAAAATGCGTGTGCATGTGTGTATAAGCGCTCCAGCGCAATCGATAGTAGTCTTACGGTGGCAGTGGACTTTTGACCTTCGACCGTACATTGCCGGCCTTTTAAAAAGGAATAAGCTCTTTTCTTGAAGGTCGTATCGGTTCGGAAATACCGAATATTATTATTATTCGGAAATCATATTCAATTGTTTTTTTTTTAATATTCAGTTCTTTTTGCACAATTTTCAACATACATAACATCACGCCTTTTATCCCTGAAGGGGTAGGCAGAGGTGCAAATTATGCCACTACAATGTAACACCCACTTTTCACTATTTATGTTATGAGTCCCATGTAATAGGGGGTGAGCCTTTTACCATATACCGGGCACAATTCCAGACTCCGTGCTACTACTGAGATTTTTTATAAAACCCAGTAATACTTTGCCCGACCCGGGAATCGAACCCGAGACCCCTTGCCCGGCAGTCGCACTTGCGACCACTCGGTCAACGAGGCAGTCACAATTTTTAAGTTTTAATTTACGTGTTATTCGTTGTTACAGGGAAACAATTCCATCATTTGTGTTGATGGACATCCAAAGTTCGACAGTGGTGACATATGTATACAAACTACTTGGAGATGAAGTCAAAGTGGAAAGGATTGAATATAAAAAAGCTTAACCATTATGTTATGTTATATTAAAATAGTTATAATTAATTATTACATTATACAAAGATTTTAATTTTATATAGGATGTAAACGTGAATCTTTGAAAAACGCAGACAGGTGGTAATGGTAAAAAAGGAGTTTTAATTAAAAACAAGTAAGGAATGAAATGTTTTCTTTTATGTATATAATAATACTTTTAATTAAACCTTATTGGTACTTTTGAAATGTCAACACAAAAATTACAAAATAAATAATAATCTGACAGTCTGTCCGTCAGTGAAGCTAGGTTCTCGATCCAATATGTACATTCGAATGGAGACAAATTAATTAAGTATTGTCCAAATTTATTAATGAAAATAATATTAAAATATAACTAACTTTATTAACAACTAAAACTACCACAAAGTTCAGTTCGAAGGCCCAATAATCTCAAAAATCGTCACCACTCGAAACTGGCAGTATAGTCGACAACACTGCATTGGAGACTCCGTTGCCAAAAAGAAGAAAAAAAAAAAACGAGGTAGACACTCTATAATCTACCGTTCAACGCTGATGTTGCATGTATATCACAAAAATATGTAAAAAGAATTAAGTAAATAAAAACGATTTTATTTGTCTGCGTTTTCAGAAGCGTCTGTTTACACTCTGTATAAATTATAGTGTTTAAACAACTGTATTAGATTGTATATTTGTTTTTTTACCGACCATTATGTTGTGAGTGGTAAGTTGATATTGCCATTAACGACTCACACGCCATCTATAATGTAATGTGTTAATGTACAAGAGATACGCTCGTATTATTTGTCAATTAGATCTGTATGGCGGTTCGGATGATGGGTCTTAAATAAATATTTCGTTTAATATATTTTAATTTTAACCTTTTGAGCGCCAGGGTCACAAATACGTGACAAGCGAAAACTGTCCCTGAGCGCCAACGACACAAATATGTGACAAAAACAGCGGTACATTAAAACACGAAATAAACTATTTAAACATTACTTTAATGCCTATTTATTTATATACCTGTAAAATAGAAGGTCCAAAATTTATTTATTTCCATAAAACTAATTAAATTGCATTATAAATATTGAGAAATTTTACGTTAAAAAGAAAGAAATAAACTCTGAAAAAAGAATGTCCTCACACGCCAGTGTCATAACTGCGTGACCGCTAGTGATGTAGCGCATGTTGGATAATATCATTATTTCAAATCAAAGATCGATTCGAAACTTTCCTCTGGAATATATTATTTTAGGTATAATTTGGTACTAGGATAAAGCAGCATTAATTTTATAAAACCAGTCTTAAAAATCATTCAATAAGCTACATAGTCAAAAATAAAATTTGGTTGGGTCGAATTTCGATATTCACTAATCCCAACTCAAGCGCATCCCTAACGCAACCCGAATTATGAGTACCCTGTACGCCATGGTCACGACTAGACGACAATATCGTGACGTCACAAGCGCGGCGACCAGAAATTAGTGAAGTGAATGAATAATTTATGATTAATTTACTTGTGATATCGAGTTCAAGATTTATATTAAGTGACTATTATAATGAGTGGGAATTTAATGACTACGGAAGAACTTCTTCGCATATTAGAAGGAGTCTCAGATGACGAAGAATTTTCGGAAACAGAATCTTTGGACGAATTTGATTTAAAGATTTGCATTGTAGATTTTGTATAATTTTGTTCTATTATTCAAAAGATTTATTAGTATAAGACTGATTGGTAGTTGTGATAATTATATATAATCGTTAATTGTTTTAATTTGTTACTTTTTATGCCAGGTTTATAGAACTTAATATTTAAAAACATGTATACATAGTACATACTGTATAACATTTTATTAAAATTTTCTATTTTTTCATAGTTTTTATTTACCTTCTTAACCTATTTCAATCATATATTTTTAAGTACCTGTTACATTCGGAATTATAAATCTAATTTAAAAAACGTGTTTCATTTATTATAAAATAATATTGTACTAGAACATCGATAAACGAGATATTACGTTGCCACATCCTTATTTCGGTAGCGAAGTAGTTATTAAAATGGCGGGCCGTCCACGCCATGGTCACAATATGAAGACAGCAGATCAAGAATAGTGTTGTACCTACAGTTATTATATTTAAATATATTGTAGTCTCATATCTGTTATTACGGTATTATACAAGTCTGTAAATAGTGTATAACTATTACTTTAATAGGAAGAAATGTAATGTTGAATTAAATTTCAATGTTATAAGGACATTATATTTCGAAATTAAAGACGAAAATGAAAATAAAATTGATTATCGATGAAGTTTTGGAATCCCTATTTTTTTCGTAGGTATTTGCGGTGAATTTGTGGCCTGGCGTTGAGGGCAAGTTCATGCGTTTTTGCTCTGACGTTCAAAAGGTTAACACATACTTACTAAATATTTTTTTTATGGCATAAGCCGGTAATCGAGCTGACGGATCACCTGATGGTAAGCAATCGGCGTCGCCTATGGACACCTGTAATATCAAGGCGTTATTTATAAGCATTTTAACGCATACATGGTTTTACCTTCGGGGATCTAAAGATAAAATTTAAGGCAAATGAGATTGCATACGTAAGTTGTCGAAATCATTGTAACTTTCGTGAGACATATTAAATAAATTATTATGTTTTCGGCTTACTCACGTAATAATTTGACGAGGAACTCGACTAGTTTCAAGCCATGCTAGAGGCTCATATTCATGAGCATCATTTCGCGACCCGCGACGCGGCGACTGTCACGCTGCTACTGGCATTACTTGAAACTAGTCGAGTTCCTCGTCAAATTATTACGTGAGTAAGCCGAAAACATAATAATTTGTCGAAATCATGTTTAAAGTATGGCTGCTGTTTTTATTTGTAAAAACTTACGCAATATTTTTTTGCCTCAAAACATGCAATATATCAAATATTTACTTGTGTATATAAAGTTATAATAGGTATGTGTTGAATAGTAATAGCAATAGCCACAATATACACCGTGACGAAATCTATTTTGTTTTCGTCTCGTGGCAAAACAACTTGCCATACTTTTGATGTATTAAGTAAAAACAAAAAAAAGTCATTTTATTTTAGTCTAAAAACTTTGTTCGTGGACATACGCACATGAAACACTAGACGTACATTTGTAGGCACACTTCGCATCGCACTTACTTGCCACCCGACGAGAAATACATCTTTGCTTTTTGCAATGATGACTGCACGGTTGGCGCGGTGGCTGGGCAACCGGCTGCCGTGCAACGTGTCGCGGGTTCGATTCCCGCACGGAACAACTCTTTGTGTAATCCACAGATTGTTGTTTCGGGTCTCAGTGTCATGTGTATGTGAACTTGTATGTTTGTAAACGCACCCACGACACAGGAGATAATCCTAGTGTGGGGTAACGTTTAAAAAAATTGGTTCACCAGTTATTTTTTGTCCACAGAGACAGTACCATTTTACTTCGGGACGAACACGAAATATATTTCACGGTGTATTCCTAAAATACCTACATATTAATAAAATATGTTTAAGTTATTTGTTTTTATTTATTTCTGATAGGTAAGTAATTTACTCACTGCCTCATTGGCCGAGTGTTCGCAAGTGCGACTGCCGGGCAAGGGGTCTCGGGTTCGATTCCCGGTTCGGGCAAAGTATTACTGGGTTTTAGAATTTTAAAAACATCTCAGTAGTAGCACGGAGTCTGAAAATGTGCCCGGTATATGGCAATAGGCTCACCCCCTATTACATGGGACTGAAAACATAAATAGTGAAAAGTGGGTGTTACATTGTACAGTGGCATTAAGTGCCGTAATGTGCACCTCTCTCTAACCCTTCGGGGATAAAAGGCTATATGTTATTTTATGTTATGTAAGTAATTTAATTAATCTCCAGCTTCCCAATTACTTTTAGATACAAAAACTATACCTACTATAAAATATTTCGTATTTGTAGTATTTGTAAGAGTAGTTTATATATCAGCTCTACAGCTAAGTTTCTTTTACGTTTCAAGTAATCGTAACGAGTACGCGTTCGGCACTCTGATTGGCCGGCTCTAATGAACCAACCAATCAGAGCACAGAACGCCGTCTCGTTTCGATAACTTTAAACGTAAATCAAACTCGTACTAAGCCCTCTGGACTTCTATAACTCTACAGTCATAGCTACAGCTAGGGTTGCCAAATTTTTTTAGAAGAAAAAGAGTATATTCGATTTTAAAGGAGATAAATAAAGAGCACGGACTTACAAAAGTCTATGAGTATCATTATTATTTTGTGCTTTTAAAAAGGTTTCATACTTTTAACGGTAAATAACAAATTTTTATACACTTAAGCTGAAAAAAATATTTGGACCACTGTAAACAGGCCACTGAAATGTCATGTCATGCCACACAAAAATGTCGTGGTGGCCCGGAGGTTTAAGACGCCCACTTCTCATGCATGAGGGTGCGGGTTCGAAACCTACCAACGGCAAGTACCAATGTGACTTTTTCCGAGTTATATGTACTTTCTAAGATTATTTAGACACCACTGACAAACGGTGAAGGAATAACATCATGAGGAAACCTGGACTTATAATTTCTAATTATAAGTTTGAAATCGCCAACCCGCATTGAGCAAGCGTGGTGATTAATGCTCTAACCTTCTCTGTGTGAGAAGAGGCTTTGCTCAGCATTGGGCATTTATAGGCTGTTGATGATGAAACAGGCCACTGTATTAACACAGCCCTGTATTAACATTAAATAGCAGACTTTTTATTCCGATCATGGGTATTTGAGTCATTGTGTATAAAAGAATATTTTAGCGGACTCTATTAGTGTTATAGATTATAGAGTACGCCTACATGATATAGAGGACAATACTCTTTTTTAGAGTACGGTTGGCAACCCTAGGTACAGCCGGACCATAATTATGATCAAATATCATAGACTAGACATTCACGTTTAATAGCATGTAGATGATACTTATAGCGTTTTGTTTGACACCTCGCGTCTTATAACAATGATATAGAAGCGACACGATAATGTACATACATACGACATGGTGACCCTGTTGAAATACACTGCAATTTAAAAACAATAAAATTGTGGAATCGAGCACAGCATTGCTCGCTCGGCAGCCGCACTAATATGAACAGCTTTTATAAGGGATGGGCCGGTAAACGAGGAGGCGGATCACTTGATGGTGAACAATCGGCGTCGCCCATGGACACCTGGAGGCGCTACAAGTGCGTTACCGGCTTTTTGAGGATTATTTAGGATTCAGGGATTGGGGAGATTGGAGGGGGGGGGGGGGAATTGGGCCTATTGTAATCAAACGCAAGCATTGTTTCACGTCGGTATTCTGTGAGGCCGTGGTATCATTCCGGTCGAGCCGGCCCATTCGTGCCGAAGCATGGCTCTCCGGCCCACACTTAATAGGTTGTACACGCAAACATGCCTCTGCTTACTCTTTTAGGGAACAAAAACGACAACATATTAAGATTAACGTTTGAAAATCAAAGCAAAAGATTTGAGGTCAAACATGAAACAAACATTAATAAAAATTAAAAAGTAAACAATAATTATCCAATTCAAAACCAATTTTAACACTCAACATTTACAGTTCAAAATTGGTTGATACAATAAAGTAACTGCACTGGTACCTACTTGAAGCAAGGTCTGAAAGATCAATGACCTCTGGTTACGTAATAAATGTTGCTAGAGTTAAAATATAATAATTGCAATAGTGTCACCTTATCATACGTTATCATGGAGGTCGGAGGTCACATTTTGAATGGATGTGTTTAACATTAATTATTATTACTTGTTTGGTACGTTTATAATAGTTTTAATTAAAGTTAGGTAGGTAGGTACATAAAAAAATGTTAAAGAATTTGTGATATAATTCGAAATTCTAAAGAATTTTCTGTACAAAAGTCGTTTAGAACTTAAATATTAAAGAAGGGTCAAATTAAAAGTACCCTTAATCGACGAGCATGCATGAAAAGATTGATGACTCATCAACAGTCAAGCGAAAGAGGTATGTAGGAATCGTAGTAATTGGCGTTCCCTAGTCTGTGCCGACCCCCAAGCGAGACAGGCGTGAAGTTATGTATGTATGTAAGTCGTTTAGATAGAGTTGGTATGCCCAAGACAACCGTACAACTCTAAAAAAGGCCTCGGCCGTTATTTAAATACCTAATTAGTTTAGTTACTTAATCAAATAAAAAAATATAACCATACAAATAAATATTCCAACTAAGTGATGACAATAATAAACACAATACAAAACAAGAATCATCCAATTTAGTTCCGCCGTTCCGGAGTTACGTGAACACAAACATTTCGGCGGTACAAACATTTGGTTTACAAACATGTTTACGTGAGACCTGCCACGCTGTATCGAAGAATAAATCACGATAAATAAATAAGGAAAAAATCAAATGTGTGTCATTAGTCGTAAACAATAATATTGACTAATTAGGAGAAGTTGTAATTAACCCAAATTGCAAGAGTTGTGTCTACGTGGTGGACTGTGCGTAGGGAAGGGACGATGCGCATGATAAAGGCCTGTGCACATTGAACAGCAGAATGGCTACAAGTGTCCCTCAGCGTTCGTCTATGCATTTCTTTTCCTGATGAAATAGAACTCGTGAGAGAATTCTTATACTTACCTACTTAGTATATTTTTTTTAAGGGGGGAAAATCATCGAATGGCTGCTCCCGCCTGGTTGAGGCGGGAGGGAGTGTCACGCTCTTACTTACTAAAAACCACCCCGTTCCTACTCCTGCACGTCGAGCCGGAGCCCAGGTAACTCGTTAGGTTCTCCGCGACTCCGTATCGGCATCAGCCCTATTGGGCCCCATCTGTGGTGGTCTGATGGCTCTAGGAGGCGCGCGTGGAACGCGGCGCGCCGTACGCTCGGGTCTGGTTCTGGTCGGGTAGCGAGTCACGCATGCTCGCCGTCCGCAGCAGGCCCGCGTTTACGGTGGCCGGAGATCGTCTTGTGATCCCGACGCCCGAAGTGTCCTTCGCGACGGCTGGGTTGTGAGGAGGCAGCGCTTACTTACTTACGGTGTAGATACATAAGGGTCTGTCTTTATTTTTTAAAATTCGCAAATTCGCGTATATGACCACTACGTTAGCACGAAAATTGGAGTTAGGTACGTTGGTTGTAAGTCAGAAAAAAGGTAATAGGCTTGACTCCTCCCACTATTAGATGCAGGTTTGATATCAATAGGCTAAAGTAGGTATGAAATTTATTTATGGAGCACTAAATACAAGTAATGAAAAATAAGAGCCACTTTTTAATAACACAACTTTGGCTCGATTGCACGTTTCTATGGGACTGTTACTATCAGACCTCAAACTGTATGAATTTTGTTGCTTAAAAAAAGCTCCCTTGTCAACCCAGCCTAATATAAGTAGTTCTAATATTGTCTTAACTGTTTGCTTCCTATCCTATTACACACGATAGATTCACAAGCAACAAGTGGCAATGAAATAAACACTCTTATTCTAAACGAGTAGAGTCCAAAATCTTAAACCATTGTTGTTACTATGAGCGTATAGTTTCGTGCATCAAGCTGCTGAAATGTAGTCAGCGCTTTCTTTTGTCTTTATCATTTATTTGTTTACTACCCGACTGCGAAAAGGAGGATTATTGAATAGGTATTACCTTTTATTATAGGTAGGTACCTATTCATGAAATCATGAATGATTTTACCCTTCCTCGTAGAAACTTTCTGAAATCGTTTTTTCACGGTTTTCGTGCGGTGGATGGGCAACCAGCTGCCTCGCACCGTGTTACGAATTCGATTCCGACACGGAGCAACTTTTTATCTGATTTACATATTGTTGATCCGGGTCTAAGTGTCAAAGGTAGGTATATTTGTAAACGCACCCAGTACACAGGAGAAAATCCTAGGAAGGGATAATGTTTAAAAACTACTTTGTTCTCTGTTATTTTGTGAAATTTTGAAATTCTAAGTATTGCATCTGAAACTTGAATATTTACTTTAAACAAAGCGCTGTATACGCTGCACTGCTAAAAGGTCATAGGCCCTAAACACAAGCACATGTCTCCAACCAGCCAGCACCCCTCCCTTTCACCTCCATAGGGCGAATAAAACCGAGCGCGCGTTCCCAATTCAAATCAGTCCAATAGCTATCGAGAACTGCATCGCGCATGCGTTCGGCGATGTTCGAAATAATTGTTTGAAAAAAAAAAGAAGAAAAAGTTTGTTTATGTGACTATTTGAATTGAGAATTTGTGAACAAAATGGCGTTGTCTATCGTGCGATTAGGATTAAGATCTGTAATTAATTTCGAAAGAAATGCAGCTGTAATATCTGTGACCAGTGTCCCTAAACAATTAAAAGTAAGTAATTTAATTTATTATTGTTTTGTTTTTATAATGTTTTGATTTTATATGTCAAGTGTCAATGACATTTTGTGGTCGGCCGTTGCATTCTTGTTCTTGTTGCATGGAGCGTAACTGTACCGGTATTGCAGTTTTACTCGGATGTAAGATATAACTAAGATATTAACGCTTGGAAGTTACGCATTACATTACATGAAAAAAGGGATCGTTTTCCATGTTTTCTTTTAACAAGAATTTATTGCAAAAAACCAACAAGGTAAGTAGGTACCTTATGCCTAAAATAAGAATGAAAAACATTTAGGTAGGTACAATTTAATGATTTTTTAAATAGCAAGTTATACTAACAACTTTATTGAGAGGAACTGGACCCTCTATACCTAATTATTTTATTATAATTTTAATTATAGTTCACGTCCCTACCAGATCAAATTTCCTTTATTCGGACAACTCAATTTCAATCAATATTGATCAATACAAGTCATGTCACTGGGTACTTACTACTTAGACACAGACCACATCTACCATGAGTTGAAAGGAATCATCTATAAAGAAACTATCTCTATAAAATACTACTTTTTTAATTCCATCACTTCTTTAAAAATATTAAGAAAATTATCATGACGAAACCAGGAATGCTTTAGAACTGATGAATTCGAGAATATTGACAACTCAGCCATGAACCAACATATAATAGTGGTAGAAAGTCTCATGTGTCTCAAATAACCGAAATGTCATAAGATCCATACTTGATGCTGAATTAAAATTGTTATTTAACTTGAAGTGTTAGGGTTTAATATTTATTAATCGCTTAATAACTACGATGCACGAGTTATTAAGTCATAAAATATCGTGATTGGGAAGTATGTAAACTTACCGAATTGGTAAGTATTACGTACATAAAATGTCCATTAGAATAGAAATTTTATATTCCATGGGTGGATTTAGATGTTAGTTCCTAGTTCATTCATAAATTGGTCGTTGCTTAGTAATTATTCGAAAAAAAATTATAAGAATGGAAGACCCTGGAGCTGCAGATGACCTAACGGGTAACCAGGGCTCCGACTCAAAGCAGAAATAGGAAGAGAGTGGTTTTTAGTCAGTAAGAGTTTGACACTCTCACAAATATCGGTCCAGAAACCATACCCAAGAAGTTGAATAAACTAAATTATTATCAGTACAGATTTAAATGAACTCGAAGATAACTCTTCTCAATTTGTATAATAACTAAAATGAAAGTCCCTCTAGTAATTTTAGGCAAAATTTTCTGTCCTGCCGATCGCTTTGAGGATTGATAGACGTGTTGTTATGTTAATTAAGTACCAACTGTTATCAGTCATGGTGTGCAAAGGTTGACTCCCATACAATGTACTACGACCTTCTTATCAACTAGAAACTAGTTCAATATATAAAACAGTAGCGTTTGTTTATTTATGGGTCTGGTTCAGTTGGTTTAGTAGTTGCCAGTGATACCGTTGAACATAAGGTCCTGCAGGGTTATGACGTCCTAAAGGCAGAATGGTTCCATTGAGGAAAAGAAACAGAGCTATACAAGTCATCTAGCGAGATCTCGGTCCCTCAATGGAACCACTGATAATACGCCAGTCATTTTTTTTAAGGGGGGACGAAGGAAAGTACGGGGAAGTCATTGAATGACTGCTCCCACCTGGGTGAGGCGGGAGGGAGTGTCACACTCTTAGTGACTAAAACCCACCCCGTTCCTTCTCCTTCACGTCGAGCCGGAGCCCCGGTTACCCGTTAGGTTCTCCGCGACTCCGAATCGGTATCGGCCCTATTGGGCCCCATCTGTGGTGGTCTGATGGCTCTTTGAGGCGCGCGCGGAAAAGGACCCTCTTCTTAGGCAAATTACTGATCGATTTTTGCGAAAGTGAAATGCAGAAGTAGAAGATTTTTATATTGATTGCATCTAGGTAAAATAATGTGTTCTGGCTAACCCTTCGGGGATTAAAAAGCCTTAGGTACGACATCTTATTCAATTACTGAGCTCGGCTTAAGTTCTTAGATTGCATTGCCCATGGGCGAGGTTCTTATAAATTATAGGGTTACAATTCATTGCAGAAAGAGTAAATACAGATGCATATAAAAGATAGTATAGGTATAAGGTATATGTAATTTTTACTTATCAATAATAGATTTCCCAGTCAGTAATGTTGGAATACTTCACTAGGTATCTTGTGAAGCTGGATTTGTGCGCGATGAAAGCGAATTGGCAAAATATCCCTTCATCTCTATTGTACCTACATAGAACTCATTGTAACATACGAAAACTTTTACATTGTTTCTGATATGTACTATGTATAATATGTATATGCACTTCTGCCCCCTTTCGGGGTATAACAGATAAGATTTTGAAGTAAAAGTCAACTTTTGTTTACATTTTTATATCTAGTCACTAAAAATAGTTCGGAACCTAGCACTAACAGAGAATAAAGCTCATTAATGTAATAAAATATAATTAACTACTCAAACTGTACAGATAACCTATTATCTTAATGTATTGCAGTCTGGATTGAAGTGGTAACTACAATTTTAGTCTCTATTTACAAGGACACATGTACGATTATCGTGTGAACTTTCTTACCGATAGTAGGTCAGTGTCGTGAGGTTTGTTGAACTAAAGTTATCGCCATTTTTCACTGTGTTATTGTTTTTAAACAATACCTAGTAATTATTATAATTAATGAAAAATGCATGTTTGATATCATAGAGCTTGGACGGTAAAAGTTAAATTCAAAGTCAAAATTAGGTACATTTCGACATGAAAGTCAATTTTGAGAGTCAAAATTAGCAATGTCTGTCGGATTCGTAGTGAAAAGAGCTTATCTAATTTTTTTAATATTTTAATGTCATTCGTCATAGATCAGGGTTGTATTTGTATCATGTAACTCCACAGGTATAATAAAGGTATTCGGTGGTATTTCCGAACCGATACGACCTTCAAGAAAAGAGCGAATTCCTTTTTAAAAGCTGGCAACGCACCTGTAACTCCTCTGGTGTTTCGGTTGTCCATGGGCGGCGCTGATCGCTTACCATCAGGTGATCCGTCTGCTCGTTTGCCTCCTATTCCAAAAAAAAAATCTGTGTGTAACTCCCTACCCCCCAAGAAACAGGAGTAGAATTCCTGCTTGAAGTGGGCGCCTCGGTAAATCACCAAGATTGTCCACAGCTTCGGTCGGGTCTGAGGGCCCTGAGATATCTAACTAGGCAGACGTGCTTCTAACCACGCTTAACGCATAAACCAGGCAGTTATTTATTAATTTTTTATTGAGTTGTTTATTATTATATTTTTGTTTACGTACCAACAGAGTGGTGTACGTGAGCGAGGTCGTTTTTGAAAAACAATTGTATGTACATACGAACATAATATTCATTCATAATAATGTTTGTCGTGAATGGTAATCGAAGCGGCCCTAACCAAGGACGTTGTGTAGAGAACGGTGTATTTGTACCTCTGGTATAGTTTGGTACGATATAATAGATATGAACGGAAATGTAGTTAGTAGCAAGGCCCTCGGGAATCCTCTAATATTATTTTTAAGTGTGGGAGAGCCATGCTTCGGCACGAGTGGGCCGACTCGGCCGGAGTGATACCACGGCCTCACAGAAAACCGACGCGAAATAACGCTTGCGTTGTGTTTCGTCGTGTGAGTGAGGTTACCGGAGGCTCAATTACCCCCCTCCCTAGTCTCCCGAATCCCCGAATCCTCAAAAGGCCAGTAACGCACTTGTAACGCCTTGGTGTTTCGGGTGTCCATGGGCGGCGCCGATTGCTTACCATCAGGTGATCCGTCTAAATATTTTTTCTCACCTTTTAAACCTTCCCTGGACTTCTACAACCTAACCTAACCAATTCGGTTCAGCCGTTCTCGAGTTTTAACGAGACTAACAAACGGAAATTAATATTTATTTATATAGAAGATAATCTCCACGCTTACTAGGCCGATCGCAGAATGAAATTTTAAAATAAAAGGTCAAGTTTGTCAGAAATTTGTTGTTCCTGGTCCTCTGTCGTGGTCGTGATCATCTTTCTGCAACACCAAAGAATTTTTCCATCTATTTTTGTCTTTTTCAAATTACTTGGTGATAATAATTCTATTTTATAAAGATTTGATATTAAAGTAAAAAATCAAATCTTTTAAAGAACTTTTGAAACGTCAAAATGAATTGTCAGTGAAGCTAGGCTCGTTCCAAAGTGTAGTTTTGAATAGAGAATAACGAACAAGAAACTCCATCGTTACTGCTACCTTCCATGTTCAAGACTTAACTTGTAACTTAAATGCTAACTAATGTTCACAAAGTTAGGTCTATTCCCAAGTAGCGCAAACATAATTTATCTGTAAAATTATTGAGTACCTACACTTACACTTACACTTACGTTAAGCAGGCATTTTGTCTTATTTAGGGCCATAGGTGAGATGTCATTGCGAATACAATAGTCTTCCAAAGTCCAAAAGTCAACATTGTCGTTTTCGCATGGTTCAATTAAATACGTATACAATGAGTCGATATATGTCTTTGAAATAGACCGTAGGCCTACATTATTCAATACGTACGTACATGTGTATTTACCTGTATGTATTGTATGTCTGTGTATTTCTACACCACGTGGAAAATGTTGTGTAATCAACAATTGATTTCCGTAACCATTATGTGTGAAACTAGCGGTAACCTAGTTAGTAGTATTTTTTTAGTATGGGAGAGCCATGCTTCAGCACGAATGAGCCGGCTCGACCGGAGTGATACCACGACCTCACAAAAAACCGACGTGAAACATCGCTTGCGTTGTGTTTCGTCGTGTGAGTGAGGTTAACAGATGCCCATTTACCCACCTCCTCCCCAGTCTCCCCAATTCCCTAATCCTCCACAATCCTCAAATTCCCAATTCCCAAAAGGCCGGGAACGCACTTGTAACGCCTTAGTCTTTCAGATGGCCATGGGCGGCGCCGATTGCTTACCATCAGGTGAAGCGTCGGCTCGTT